TACCTGACCGCCCCTAAAATTTTCTCAACGGATTTAGACGATTCACAAAAATGATCAATTTAAGAAATAAAACGGCGGATTTCCGCGGATCCGCGGAAAATTGCCATGTATGATCGTACTTCCGGGTGGCAAAAGCCCGTGCTTTGACGAAGTGATTGACAAACCAGAGTTGGTGGCTTTTATGATCATTTTAGCCTTCTTCTCCACCACTGTTGTTTGAATGTGTTCGGTGTCAGTCGGAAGATGTTACACGAAGTACATTGCTTCAAAGCCAGTCAGAACGCAGACCACAATTTACATTTAAACAGGTCAGTTTTTATTAAAGATTTATGGAAGCGTATTGCCGCCACAACCGAAAACATCACGTTTTTAAGATGCGTCGTTAATCACATAAATCGTTTCAACACTTAGCCTTATTTTTTTTTTCAAATATGTTAGGTATCGAATTACGGAAAGGTGGAACTCTCAATGTGGAGTAAAATACGTTCACACTTATTTGCAAGTGAACGTACTTGGTGGCTAAATGCTCCAAACGTAGCATTTTCCGCGTGCCACGGGATATGGAGTTGCGCATGCGCGGGTAAAACGCAGCATTTTCCAATGCCACGGGGTATTGAGCTGCGCATGTGAGGGTAAAAAAAAAATTACAAGGATCTTTATTTTCTTGATGATACAAGTTTAATCAGAATGGTATATTTGTATAGTGTGTGTACTGTGGTGGTGGGGCATACCCTATTGACCGTATATGCTAATTCCTTCCGCATTCACAGACCCTGAGGCATTATGGGAACCAATCCTCTACGGAAATCATGTAATGGAGACAGAATAACACCATAACATTACGAGTCAGTTTGATGTTACAGGTATATGTAAAAATGAAACGAGAATTTAAACCTAAATACATAGGTGAAAACTCAAACATTTCAAAATGATTAAACATAAATGTATTGTAGTTAAAAGTTGAATACAACTGAACTGCACTTAAAAATGCACTGTAGTGGATTTAGAAAAGTTGAAGCCTCTGTGACATTACTGTATTGGTAATTTGACCTTAATTCATTGATTCTGATGCATACCGCTAGAGGGACACGATGTAACATTATTAGTACTCGAGTCGTGAAAGACGTATGAGTACAGTATCACTTAGCTAGATAGACCCATCAGTTTCACATTTCTGCGTATTTAATTTATCAATGTCAAAACTACTGGAAATGCGGTTACCAAGATTTAATAGCATTGCATGACTTCTTTTCAGGAATAAGGAGTTTTGCCATCGCTGATCATTTTTCATCAATTAAGTTGCTGTGCTACTGCTGAGGTGAAGATGAAGAAATTATTTGCCAACTTCTCCAACAAGATGCGAGCACCAAGTAGTGCACCAGACAGCGGTGGTCCAACCACTGCTGGCTACAAGGTGAAAAAAAGGAAGATGGAAAATTTGCACAAGGCTGCCTGGATGGGTGATGTGGGCAAGCTGCGATGGCATGCCATGTGCAATAATGACGTTAATAAGGTTGACAAGCACAATAGGTAAGTGAGTACCAAAAAAACGACGTCACAGATATAGATAAATGTGGTCAGAAAAACTCCTGCTTGGCAGAAACATTCTCACGCATTCACAGAACTGCGCTTCACCTGGCTTGTGCCAACGGACATGCTGGGGTGGTGGATTTCCTCCTCAGTAAACAAGCCAAGATCAATCTATTCGACAGCCAAAAGAGGACCGCCTTGATGAAGGTGAGCTGAGACCCCAAGACAATTTCATTCCCGATGCATTTTGATTGTCACCAGTGGCTGTCGATTTATCTTCATGCTTTCAGGCGGTGCAATGCCAGAATGATCTGTGTGTGAACATTCTGCTGGAGAACAAAGCTGATCCCGACCTGATGGACGCAGATGGAAACACAGCCCTACATTTGGCCGCCAAAATCCCGTCACTCTCCTGCGTCATCATGCTCGTGAAGAAGGACGCTGACCTGAATGTGAAAAATCTGGTGATTCTCTCCTCGTCCATTCCAAACACACGTGACATTAAAATGCAGCATACTTTGCGTGAGTAAGTCCGATGACTGTGATTTCATTTTGAAGAAAGGCCTTTCACCCTTGACTATGGCAGTCCGTGGAGACCACATTGCAGTGACCGAGTTTCTCTTGAGGAAAGGCGCTGATGTTAATATTTTAGACAAACACCAAAGGTTGGAGCAAAACGATGACACACAAATCCATCCTGTAATTTAAGAAAATCTCAACATGTTAAAAGTGGTTACTTTGTTTGTGCACCGGTCCCTAAAATAAACTTACAGGTCACCATTAATGATCGCTGCAGCCAATGGACAAATGGACATGGTACGAATGCTCTTATTGTTTAAAGCCGATTTTACACTGATGGATAACAAAGGACTATCGGCTGAGGACCACGCTGTGGCGAATGGCCATCGACCGTAAGTTCGTGTTCTTGTCCTTACTCACATTTTTCAAGACATATTTTCTTCCAATCTCATTTACAGTGGAACAACTTCATTTTAAGGTTATTTAGTGTAGAACCGAGCCCAATTTAAAAAAAAAAATTGATTTTACACTGATGGATAACAAAGGACTATCGGCTGAGGACCACGCTGTGGCGAATGGCCATCGACCGTAAGTTCGTGTTCTTGTCCTTACTCACATTTTTCAAGACATATTTTCTTCCAATCTCATTTACAGTGGAACAACTTCATTTTAAGGTTATTTAGTGTAGAACCGAGCCCAATTTAAAAAAAATTACAAGGATCTTTATTTTCTTGATGATACAAGTTTAATCAGAATGGTATATTTGTATAGTGTGTGTACTGTGGTGGTGGGGCATACCCTATTGACCGTATATGCTAATTCCTTCCGCATTCACAGACCCTGAGGCATTATGGGAACCAATCCTCTACGGAAATCATGTAATGGAGACAGAATAACACCATAACATTACGAGTCAGTTTGATGTTACAGGTATATGTAAAAATGAAACGAGAATTTAAACCTAAATACATAGGTGAAAACTCAAACATTTCAAAATGATTAAACATAAATGTATTGTAGTTAAAAGTTGAATACAACTGAACTGCACTTAAAAATGCACTGTAGTGGATTTAGAAAAGTTGAAGCCTCTGTGACATTACTGTATTGGTAATTTGACCTTAATTCATTGATTCTGATGCATACCGCTAGAGGGACACGATGTAACATTATTAGTACTCGAGTCGTGAAAGACGTATGAGTACAGTATCACTTAGCTAGATAGACCCATCAGTTTCACATTTCTGCGTATTTAATTTATCAATGTCAAAACTACTGGAAATGCGGTTACCAAGATTTAATAGCATTGCATGACTTCTTTTCAGGAATAAGGAGTTTTGCCATCGCTGATCATTTTTCATCAATTAAGTTGCTGTGCTACTGCTGAGGTGAAGATGAAGAAATTATTTGCCAACTTCTCCAACAAGATGCGAGCACCAAGTAGTGCACCAGACAGCGGTGGTCCAACCACTGCTGGCTACAAGGTGAAAAAAAGGAAGATGGAAAATTTGCACAAGGCTGCCTGGATGGGTGATGTGGGCAAGCTGCGATGGCATGCCATGTGCAATAATGACGTTAATAAGGTTGACAAGCACAATAGGTAAGTGAGTACCAAAAAAACGACGTCACAGATATAGATAAATGTGGTCAGAAAAACTCCTGCTTGGCAGAAACATTCTCACGCATTCACAGAACTGCGCTTCACCTGGCTTGTGCCAACGGACATGCTGGGGTGGTGGATTTCCTCCTCAGTAAACAAGCCAAGATCAATCTATTCGACAGCCAAAAGAGGACCGCCTTGATGAAGGTGAGCTGAGACCCCAAGACAATTTCATTCCCGATGCATTTTGATTGTCACCAGTGGCTGTCGATTTATCTTCATGCTTTCAGGCGGTGCAATGCCAGAATGATCTGTGTGTGAACATTCTGCTGGAGAACAAAGCTGATCCCGACCTGATGGACGCAGATGGAAACACAGCCCTACATTTGGCCGCCAAAATCCCGTCACTCTCCTGCGTCATCATGCTCGTGAAGAAGGACGCTGACCTGAATGTGAAAAATCTGGTGATTCTCTCCTCGTCCATTCCAAACACACGTGACATTAAAATGCAGCATACTTTGCGTGAGTAAGTCCGATGACTGTGATTTCATTTTGAAGAAAGGCCTTTCACCCTTGACTATGGCAGTCCGTGGAGACCACATTGCAGTGACCGAGTTTCTCTTGAGGAAAGGCGCTGATGTTAATATTTTAGACAAACACCAAAGGTTGGAGCAAAACGATGACACACAAATCCATCCTGTAATTTAAGAAAATCTCAACATGTTAAAAGTGGTTACTTTGTTTGTGCACCGGTCCCTAAAATAAACTTACAGGTCACCATTAATGATCGCTGCAGCCAATGGACAAATGGACATGGTACGAATGCTCTTATTGTTTAAAGCCGATTTTACACTGATGGATAACAAAGGACTATCGGCTGAGGACCACGCTGTGGCGAATGGCCATCGACCGTAAGTTCGTGTTCTTGTCCTTACTCACATTTTTCAAGACATATTTTCTTCCAATCTCATTTACAGTGGAACAACTTCATTTTAAGGTTATTTAGTGTAGAACCGAGCCCAATTTAAAAAAAAAAAATAGTGCAGTTTGATTTTACTATGGTGCCTTGAGATACAAGTTTAATGTGTTCCGTGATCACACTTGTAACTCAAAACACTCATATCTCAAATCATCTTGCCCCATTGAAATGAATGGAAGTGCCGTTAATTGGTCCCACTTGCCCAACAACAAAAAATGTTTGTAATGTGGTTTTAATAACAGAAAACAATCATGGTATTGTTCTACAATACATGCAAAAATACAGTAATGACATAATTCAATGGAATGTAAAAAAGAAAATCATGTTTGCCGCATTATTTGCTTGAGTGCAATGGCCATGGTGCTGCTCTTTCTCATGTGCTTGCCTTGACCTTTTCGGGCCAGTAAAATGTAGTTTTGTTCCGTGGTTGTTATAAAAAGACAATGTCATTCTCTGTTTTATGTTTAATTTGACAGTAAACTTGAACTGGGAGCATCAATAAACCGCCTGAAGCCTCTTATTTGAAGAATTGTTCACTATCTGCCAAACTGCTGCTTGTTTAAGTGAGTTGAATTGAGTTCACTGAAACCATACAGCACTTGTGTCTCAAGATTTTTTATGCAAGTCAAGGCAAAAAAACAAAACAAAATTGACCAAACAACTGCTCGTATCTCCAAACACTCGTAAGTTGGGTCGCTGCTATCTCAAGGCACAACTGCACAATATTTTAGTTTTATTATGCAGCGGTTAACTTACTTTTACACTTGTTTGACGGTCAATGAATGCTAAAATGTTGCTAAAAACATGACTTGTAGCTTTTCTTTGACCCACATTGTTTTCTATGGGAAATTTTTAACCTGAATTGGAACAAATCGGAACTCGACTAGCCTGTGTTGGGTTCACCCTCAGCAGTTCCACTGTGTTAGTCTGTGTGTTGTTGAACCTCTTCTCCTGCTAGGCATTTAGGACCCAAAACAAGGTGACAATGTCAGTTCCGTGACTCTGTTATAGCTGTGCCTTCCTTATTACTGAGCACGGAACCAAAAGGAACCAGGCGCTCTCCCGGGCTCCTGCAGCTGTATGTGATGAGACCATCAAATTCGAGCCGGATCACCCAAACGAAGCCCTCGAAGCTTGGGAAGGACCATCCACTAGCAAAGATGGTGATGCTTTTACATGACCTTACATTACTAAATTCCTTGTGCATCATCACTTAGTTTGAACTGGAGTGTTTGTCACACAGATGTGTTGTGTTTACAAAAGCAGTAAAAGTTTTTAAGAATTAAAAGGCAAACTACCAATCGATCGCGTTCCGTGACACGTCATCAAAAGCTGCGAGCACATAATTAGTGTAAAAGAACGACAGATTTACGTGTTTGATCGGTTTTGTTTGTTGCAGTTTGAAGTTTTGCTATTTTAGTAATTTCAGAAAATATCAAAACGCCGAGCTGTTGTGTTTACGGTTGTACAAATCGAAGTGGAAATGGGATAACATTTTTCTGAATTCCAAAAGGAAATCGGCCGTTTCAAAAACACTGGGAGAGCCTGTGGCCGCAGGCTATTAAACGTACAGACTGGAACGCGGACATCAGGAATGGCCGCGTTTGCGTTGCTCATTTCATTTCTGGTTAATTATCATGGCCATTCTGTTTCACCTAACCCCTATTTATGGAAATGTTGAACAAGTGGGCCGCAATTGTGTAATAGTGGCAAGGTGTGTTTGTTACAACTACTGCTAGCTTTGCTAGTTCGTAACTGGTAACTAACAAATTTTTCTCAGAGCTTCTGTTCACATTCGCTCCTAGAAACAAAAGCTCTTAATTCGTGATCATTACTGTTTGCGATGTTTATGGTAGCCGTTTTCGCTGTGCACCTTAGAACACAGCAACGTAAAAGTGTCTAGCTGCTGATGTTTAGCTTAGCTGATGTGTTGGTGTGTGGCAGTTGACTCGTTTCCGACGTTTTACGTGAGGCCATTTTCGTGCGATCATGTCGCGCAGGTCTGTTTTGCCCTTCCTTGCAGAAAAAAATGTGCCGCGGGTTGTTAATTTTATGTGTCTATTTTAAAAATATGATGTACACTGGAATCTCCTCCGTAGACTCCTTTTCAATTTGATAATTGTCATGCAGTATTTTATTTTATTGATGTTAATCGCCGGCACGACGGGATAACTCAAACCGTCAAATCGTATCGAAAGCTAGCTTGCTTTTTTCATATCGGCCTACAGACTTAAATTTGAGGTATATAGGGATACGCCGTAGACGTTTCATCAAATTTATTTGCCGCAGAAGAAAATGATACGGTGGCAAAATTTGTGTCGCCTAACGGTGGTGAGGGGGTGGGGAAGTTGGTGGCACGGGAGCTGTCCACCGCGATGAGCCAGCCATTCGTTGCGACGATACTGTGGGTACCCGTTTGCCAAAAAAAAAAACAGGCAGACGGGTCTCGCACTGCAAAGGTGGATTTTATGACAGTTAAAATTGATGTGTTCATTGCCACATATCACATATTTGAAAGCATCCAAAGACTCCTGTAAAAACTGCGCGTCTCCACTCGCAGGATAGCGAGCCAATGGACACCGGGCCACTTTCAAACGTCTTCCTCTCACTCTGTAATCCCAAAAGGATCAGAAAGTTCCTTTCCATGTGATTATGTCAGCTTTTCTGCACCAACAAATCACGATGACGTCATATTTGCTAAGAAAGCTGGAAAGGGGTTTGTAGAAAGGGCAATGTAGACCTTAATGCTTTTGATTTGTTTAACAGGTATCTTTTCACCGATTGCTGAACTTGTTGATGCAAGAGCTGAGCATTGTATAAATGAGGAACTTCGGATTCAACCAAAAGAGGTAAGCCCTAACATAAGAATACAGGCTAACAACAGCCGAAAGGATTTAAAAAAAATTAAATTCCACCACCTCCCCTTCAATAGACTGACCTGAACAAATGGGGGCTGCTTTTAAGCAAATGTGAAGAAGAAAGCCTCGAAAAGCTTGGTAAGTCTGTTTGATTTTTATTTCCTGGCATGTGTCATTGTCTTTAACATCCTACTTGGTTTGGTTGACAGAACTTATGGAAGAGCTAGGTCTTGGACAATTTGACTGTAACGAAGGTAACTCTTAGAAATGTAAAATTGCAGCCCTAGTTGAAACACAAACAATTGTTTCAGTGGTTGCCCCACCAACAGCCAAATCCATCGCACGTTTCATCATTAAATGCCACACCTTGTGCCTGTGTTTCTTTGCACTTGAAAATCAGAGATGGATAAATCTAGCAATACCGGTCATGGAAATCTGCCTGCATGCAAAGAGGAATTTCAGCCCAGTCCATCTCTGAAAGAAGAGGTGGTTTATGTGTCTCCAAAAGTGCCCTTTGCTCTGCCAGTAACAATCAGCCCCGACGACACAAAGGTTGTCGCATCTCCTACTTCACCTGCACATCTCCATTCCCCAAATGTGATTCTTCAAGAGAGCGACGGTAAAACTCAACAGGCCTTTCTTTTGTTTCCTGATTTGCACTTCACTATTAAATGTGCACACCATTAAAACAGGCCACCAGTACAGGCTTGTCTTTTTTAATTGACTGTTGTCATTCAATTGCACTTCTTCAGAATCAGATTGGGATGAAGACAGTTTGATTTCATTTTGTAATGAGACCAAAACAGACAAACAGCAGCTTCGGGAAGCACTTAGAGGAGGTAAAAACACTCGCCATTTCTTGGCCGTCTGAGTAGTGAGTGCATGGTCTCGATGTAAAGGTCTCACCTCTCCTTAAGGCGGCAACGAAGTCTCAACACTGGAAAGTGACGGCAAAAATATTTTTTCTTCTGACAAGCTACACCAACAGGTGATCACGTCACCAACACACAAGTCTATTTTGAGTGCTGCGTGAGGCACATGAAATGCTATACATCATTGTCAAAAAGTTGTTGTTTTTAAGGATACAATCTTGTCACCCAGTGCACTTCTCAAGCCCACATGTGATATGTATTCTGAACCAATCTTAAGATCGTATCAAGTTGTATCCATGTATGAAATGAATTTTGCAGACATATTTTATGCATGAAGGTAAAAGCTTTCTTTTCCTGGTCCGTCTTGTTTTGCCACCCCCACCTTATAAGGAGGCAGCTCTACGTGGGATCTGCAATGAGAAACTTAGTGAAGAAGAAGAAGAGGAGGAGGAGAAATCCATCTTAAGTAATGTTGTTCAAAGTTTTAGGGGGATGTTCAATGTACTGTCCAAATCAGTAAGCATTCATGAAGAAAAGCAGGGTGACGCCACCTCGCCCTATGAAGAGTCAAGCGATGAAGAGGATGTGCAGTCACTTCGGTCAGTTCATCTACCCCACCATTGGCTGTCTGGATCAGAAGACTTTGTAGTGGAATCCTCCGGTAGGGCCCTGGAAGATGAGAAGATACCAGACTGTCAGTTGCCCGGTAGTGAGATCATCATGCTTCGGGAAGTAGAAGCACCACCCCGGAGTGAGACTCCAGAGTCGCTCACCAAGAAGAAGGAGAGCAGTGTCGACTTTGCCACCACAGGTTTCCCTGCTGGTCACGACACAGCCGACGACACCAAAGTTGGGCCTTTTCACAGCATTCAGTTAGAAGAACCTGAGGTAAGGTTGATATTCCCTTTACAGTGGTGCGTTATGATATGAGTTGGCTTCCATAGGTCAAAACATTTGTATCTCAAATCATCTGTCCCCATTGAAATGAGTGGAAATGCCTTTAATCTGTTCCCCCTCCCTCCAAAAACCCAAAAGATTTCTCTGTTTTCCCATTTGTCTCTGAATATCCGTTGCTCAAAGGGTTCGAAAATTGCAACTATCAATACAAACCGTTAGCATGAAAATGATTTGTTAGCATTAAGATAGCGGCTCATTCTTCAGGCACTGTCTGGTTGTTTTAAATACACAATGTGTAATTGTCTCTGTGATTGGCTGGCAACCAGTTCAGAGTGTACCCCGCCTACTGCCCAAAGACTGCTGGGATAGGCTGCAGCATGCCCGCGACCGTCGTGAGGATAAGTGGCTCGGGTATTGGATGGTGGATTTATGTAATTGTCCTTTTTTATGTTTAGTTTGACTAAGTGGGAGTGGCATGAAACGGCTTGAAGCCTGTCTTTGTGTCTCACGTGACCACCGTAGTAGTAGACGCTGTTGCCTTCCATCCATACACTGGAGCTGTGTCGTCCATGTGATAAATTTACTCCAGAGGTTGCAAGTCATCAATGTCAAAGTATTCAATAGATACAAAACAGGCCCAAACACCATCCCAAACCGTCTTCTCTTTACTGCTACGTCTTATTTTCAGGTGGCCCACGAGACTCCTTTGACAATGGCGAATCTCAGTGCTCCCTCTGACGCAGGTGGAAGGGCATCAGAGGGGCCTACAAATGAGCAACCTGAGACCAGGTTAGCCGATCGAACTGAACCCTCTCCACAAGTAGAGAAAGCTGTCACCTCTCAGAGGTATGCACCATTTTGCATGTGCCCCTTTCACATTAGACTTGATTTCCCTCCATGTTTACAATGATTTATACATCTGCCGAGTGCAAAAAAGTGTGAGGTTTTGTACGTGCGATATGTTAAAAAACGATTATTGACTTATCTATTCGGGCGGCAGCGTGGAGTCGCAACTCACACATGAGCTGTCCTTGGACATCAGACTCGATGGCCAGGTAGAAGAATCACAACTCGAACATCAGGTGTCCTTGAACATCAGACCCGATGGCCTGGCAGAAGAATCACAACTCGCACATCAGCTGTCCTTGAGCATCAGATCCGATGGCCTGGCAGAAGAGTCACAACTCACACATCAGCTGTCCTTGAACATCAGACCCGATGGCCTGGCGGAAGAATCACAACTCACACATCAGTTGTCCTTGAACATCAGACCCGATGGCCTGGCAGAAGAATCACAACTCGCACATCAGCTGTCCTTGAGCATCAGATCCGATGGCCTGGCAGAAGAGTCACAACTCACACATCAGCTGTCCTTGAACATCAGACCCGATGGCCATCCAGAGGAATCACAACTCGCACATCAGCTCACCTTTGACATCAGACCCGATGGCCAGGCAGAGGGCAGCTCCCAGCTGACTGTGGTTAGCGAAGCACGTGGCATCCGAGTCTTTCAGAGCAACGGTGGAATCTGCAGGGATCTCTTTGGGTTTGACGGCACCTTAAGCGATCTGTCGGAAGATGACAGAAGGTATTTGTGCCCCCATGCGTTGTCTATGAATGTATTTGTTACACTGGATGTATATGTTCAGACAAACACAACTATGTCATAAAAAAAAATATATATATATATATTTGTACATTTTTTTTAAACCGACATGGAAACCATGTTTTTAGAAGTATGTTTTTACGGGACAGTGAGACATTATGCCAGTTCACGATGCCGTTTAAACAAAGTCATTTGCGAGGCAAAGTGCCACTTCTGCAGTAGCCGCTATTTTTCTGTTTGTCGACGCCAGGTGGCAATCGGCGGAATTTCTGAAAAGAACACCAAGCACTCTCACGGTAAGTTCTCAAGTGTTCAAAAGATGTCATTATTTTTCGCTGTCCCATAGGTCTGTTTTTAGGCCAAAGTTCCAAGTGTGTGAATGGCATGCATGCCCTTTTTCTTTCATCAGACCACTGAAGATGACGAGATATCCAAAGATACCGATGATGCCGGCATTTCAGAAGACTCCGACATTGCCCTCCACGTTCGGAAACTGGATGCAGTCACCACAGGTACTGTGAATTGGAAAGCCAAATGACGTTTTACTCCTCTATTTCTGGTATGTACCATGTTGATGTTCCTCAGACTCCAGGAGTAAGAAGAATCTGTGGGACTTCGATGAGCGCTACTTGCTGAAAGCAAATGGTCATCATAGCGCTTTAAGAGAGAGGCTGAGACAACTGGAAATTGCAAATCCTGTCTTGGAGCAAATCAACATGGAGTTGACAGCTGATGTCACAAACCTCACGTAACAACTGCTTCGTTTTCTCTTCACGAAGTGTATTCTGCCCGAAATGAAATGCTATCTTTCGCCTAAATGCAGTACCTTTGATTTCAACAATAGCCTTTTGTGAAATTAATTGGCGGCATTGACTTATGGACATATTTGCTCATCACAGAGTTCAGCTGACAACGGCCATGAAGACCATCGTGTCGAAGGAAAGTGTCATTAAGAAGGTGAGAAATAGCCGCATGGATGGGTAGTTTTGTTTTTGTTTTTTGTTTTGTTTTGACTTTTTTTTACGTTTTTCATGTGCCCAGCTTGAGGAGGATCGGAATCAGGCCGAAAAGCTTTTGGCGCAGAATCATAACACGCTGAATGCACTCCATCAGAAGGTCAACAGTCAACAGATCAAGCAGAAAGAGACGGAAGAGGAGTGCAAAAGGAGTAAAAGTAACGAGGTAATTGTCACCTCATTTAAATGTGTCTGAATAATTGGGAATTTCTCCATTGCGAGACTAATAAAGGTTTTTCTTATCTTATCTTCTCTTATAAACTGTTCTGAAATTGCCTCACAGTCCCAAGTTTATTAGGATCCTCGTTGGTTTTCACCAAGGTGAAGACACTTCTTTTTAGATTGAAATAAACGAACAACAATAACCACAACGATCAATCAATTCATGAACTACATCAAGAGTTTTTATTTTCATAGTCAACTGGCGGACATGAACATCACATTTCTACTAATTGTGGCTTGTTTTGATTCCTTTTGGAATCTCTGTTTATTATCTGTCCTGCCAATAGGTTACTACTCTCTACAGTCCATTACCGTCCTCTTCGTGCATTTGTTCTGGGTAGAAGCCAAATAAAGTGCACCTCGATAGCTTGCCGTGTGCCAGAGTTTTGTCTAGCATTTGTTGGTTTCAGCTTTAACAGAAAATTATCTGCAATAATAAACGGAAATGTCACAAGACTACCTGCCAATCTTTGAAAACATCATCCATCCCAGCCACTTGCATCCACCCAACATTTCTTTCTCTTGTGCAGAACTACTGTGGTTCTGCGCCATTTGAAGTTTGTCCACAGTTTGTTTTTGAGCAGTAGTTGAGACAAGACAAAAGTAAAGACTGCAATATAAGTTTGACCATTGAGACAGAGTGGGACGTAATATAATCATGCCTATCATGTCAAAGCTATAAGGCATACGGAGCTGCATTAAGTTTTGTTTGAGCGACAGATTAGTATTAGCCCCAGAAAGTTAGCTTTTGATATGTGGTACAGACAGGATTTTTTACTTTTGAGAGTGTGTGGCGACTTTTAATGAGACAGGACAGTCTCCTCAAAGCAGGTAGACGTTTGCCTTGCGTCAAGGCGTCAAACTTACGGTTATTCTTCATCCTTGAGCTGTTTTGACGACACACAGACATATTAAGACACCAGGAAAGAACTTTCAAACTTTATGAAAACATGCACGATACGTCTCCTGTAAGTGCAACTCTCTTAACTTTCAGGAGCAACTGAGAACCGAACTTGAGGTCTTACAGACCGACAGCAGCACCAAACAGAGAGACCTCGCCGAGGAGAATGAGGACCTCAAGGACCAGGTCGAAAATCTTCGGCACGAGCTCAGCCTTGTACAGCACAATGAGAACCAAAATGCCATGGACTGGAACAATACGATTACCTTATTAAAGTATGAGCTCAAACTAGCGACTGACCGCCTGGAGATGGAGCAACAGGCCCACAACACCTTAGCGGCTGAGGCTCAGTTGACCCACAGCCGCCTGATTGAGGCTGAGCGAGCTCGGTCGGAAATGGAGAAAGCTCTGCTTCAAGAGAAGGATGAACACCAGCGCCTTGCGAGTCAGTTTTTGCGCCTCTGCTCTTGCGGCGGGTCGACTTGTCTTATTAACTCATTCAGTACCAGCCAATTCTGGACCAAGTCTGAAAAGACGTTTAAAGACGTCTTTGGGAGTGAATGAGTTAAGTTTGTTTCTTTCCAGGCGAAGTATCCTGTCACCGCGAAGCCGTCAACAAACTGTCCCTGAAGCTGTCCAAGATGAAGGCACACGCAAACACTATGGAGAGCGATGCACGTCGATACGAGGCCCAGATGGTCGAGAAGACCATGCAGCTGAACAGCTTGCAGCGCGAGAGCGAGCAGACAGCGTTGCACGTTAAGGAGCTGGAAGCCGCTCTGCAGGCCGAGAAGGAGCTGGCTGCTCGAGCTGCATCGCGCCAAGAGAGCACTCAGGAGCAGCTAAACCAATTTCAGAACGAAGCCACGTTGCTGCGGCAGCGGCTGGAGGAGGCGCAAAGCAAAGCCGTTGCAAATGAGAATGCTTTGACAGAAGCCCAAAAGAGTTTCAATGACACGTCGTTTAAGGTTCGCGCCGATTGCGAGGAAAGGGTGCAACAAGCGCAGGTGGGGCTCAAGGAGCTCAACTGGAAGGTGACTGAACTCGAAACTCTCGTTCGTAAACTAGAGCGGGAGAAAACGGAGAGACAGGTAAGATCAGTAGTGGATAAAAGGAGCGAGCAACTTTTTTTGTGTGTGTAAATGACCTGATGCAGTAATTCTGACTTTGTCTGGAATTTGTTTCTGGGGTCACAGACTTGTCAGAGGCAGCTGCAGCAGGAGTTGGATGACTCATTAAAGAAGCTCTCAAAGTGTGAAGCTTCTTTGGAATTCAGCACACGGTATCGCACCGATTTGGAAGAGGAGAAAACGCGGCTCCTCCATGACATTGAAAAGCTTAAAGGAAAGGTAAAGCAAGTTTGCCGGATTTGTCTGTGTAGCTGCATCACTTGCCAAACGTTGAAGTGCTAGGATGCAAAAATCACAACTTCCTCTGTATAGAAGCTGCCATTATGTGTGTGTGTGGTGGGGGGTACACTTTCTCTGTATAGAAGCTGGCATTGTGGGGTGGTGGGGGGTTGCTTGAGACAGCGGAATCGCAGCTCATTGGGCATGAGCGGGCCCAGAAAGCAAACAGAATTCTTGGAAACAAGACAGCTGCAAATGGAAGTTGAAACAGTTTGCTGAAAATGCCCCTCGGTTAAAATTTAGCTGCAGGAAAGGGAAGCCCAATGCATTCAAGCCGAGAAGCAAATGATGGAGCGAGCAAGTCTTTTGGACGAAAGAGAAAAAGAACTGAGCATTGCAGCGCGGAAACAGAAGGAAGCTCAGGCTGCTGCGGACGCCTCCAACGATATCACCAAACGGCTTGAGGAGGATGTGCAAAGGTAAACCGGGCACACCAACAACACACAACCCGCCCGGTGACGGATGGGTCAATGAAACGACCGTCCTTGTATGTTTTATTGACCCAAAATGTCACGTCACCGTCTGCGACATTAGACTGGAGCTCAACAACATCAGGCTGGAGGCTTCTGCGAAGCAACACGCCAACAAATTTGATGCACTTCAGAAGGCGGCCCAGGAAGACGCAAGGGTGAGTGCTCGATGCGTGCGTTCTTTTCTCGGCGTCAGCCCCCAACAGGATGCGTCTTCATCCTCAATTCCTGGTTATGGGGAGCAAGAATATACTTTTTAAATCCCACAGAAAAACTAAAATATAACCTGTGTATTGTGAAAAAAAAACAAAACGAAAAAAATCTGTAGATGAGGGCTCAACTGGAGGACTTGGTGACAAATCTTCAAAGCCGGAAGCTTACGCTGGAGGACCAACTCAGCAAAGAGGTGAGCAGCACTTTGGTCACCCTTATTGAACATAGAAATGTTTCAAATGGAATAGAACTGATATCGTAGAAATGTTTTTGTGGTTCTTCTGCTCAGGTGCAAAAGCACAGCGTGTTGTCCAACAGCGCCCAGGACACCCAACTCATGTGGGAAGAGGAACTGAAGAGCCGCTCCAAGTTAGGACTGCGTCTAGCGGAGCTCGAAAAGGAAAAAAATGAAATCCACACCCAGGTGGGCGCGAAATTGCGTTTGGATCCACTTGAGGATTGTGAGACATGCTCATTGCCAGGTGGGTTGAACACGTTGTCTTTCAGGTGGAAATGGAGAAAAAGAAAGCAGAGGAATTAGCTGAGCAAAAAAGGGCCACAGACTGTCGTCTGGAACAGGAAATGAAGAGAAATTCAGAGATTCAAAAGGAATCGTACAGGTGATTGCAAAGCTCGGCTTCACACTTGTCAGAGATAAACCTTTTGAACATCCATGTTGGATTGCCAGCATCGGTTTGGTTTGTGAATTACTTCAATTGTCATTTGGGTTTGGTGGCTCTGTTATCTCGCTATAAAAATACTTCTTGAGGAAGAGTGTCTGTATTCACTTGATTCAATGATCTGTACTTCACTCCTGCAATTAGGCTACAATCGATTGCTAAAATGGCTAAGAGGAAACTGCAGGATCAGCATATGACTGGAGCGGACAAAGAAAAGGTTTGTCCCACTACTGCAGCGTTTATAGTGATAAACCTGCTCATATACGTATATGATAGCGCTACATGAATAAAGTTGTATTGTAATGTCTTGTATATATTATTATATTACATATTAATTATCAAAGGCAGCACGGTGGGTGACTGGTTAGCATGTCGACCTCACAGTGCAGAGGTTGCAGGGTTCAATTCCGGCTGCGGCCTTCCTGTATGGTGATTGCATGTTCTCGCCGCGCCCGTGTGGGTTTTCTCCGGGTACTTCGATTTCCACCCACATTCCAAAAACATGCATGGCAGGCTGATTGCACACTCCGAATTGTCCCTAGGTGTGATTGTGAGCGCAAATGGTTGTTCGTCTTACGTGTGCCCTGCGATTGACTGGCAACCAGTTCAGGGTGCCTGAATGGGCTGTCCAAAACACGAACGGCTCATAAATGTATAAATACAAATGAATCACACAAAAATGGACAAACGCGTTCTTGACAGGACAGCGACGATATCTCGAAATGGCATAGCTTGGAGTGCGTTTCATTGTTGACAGTCTTTTTTTTTAAATTTTGTTCAGTTAAGTCGCCAGGTGAACGAACTTCAGGCGGAGCTGGAGAAGGAAGTGTCCTCCCGCAGCCAGTTGGAGAGGACCAAGAGGCAGCTGGAGGAGGAGTTGCTGAGTCTGAGACGGAGCCAAGGACCCCCCTTGGACGGAGGCTGCCTAGCTTCGGCAGCCAACGCAATGGGTCTCCAATACAGATGCCACTGCTGCAAAGCCCTCAGTCCTGTGAACGAAGGACCGAGCTACAGTGTGGAGGACTACCTGGCCAAGGTTGGTGAAGACAGTGTGTCCAAACTTTGCACTGGTTATGTATATATTGCCATTTTAATATCCAATTGGTTTCACTTCCTCTTTAGCCCAACATTAGTGACTTTTTCATTGATGGTGTGTCTTTGCAGCGGGGGACTTAGCAGTAATACTGCAGTGTTGGTCGCTCAACTTCTTTCGATTTTATAGATGGTCATTTTTCTTTCATGTTATGTGATGAAATTGCGCAGTTTAAAATGGCAGGCTCTTTGCCGCTCGTTAGAATGACGAGTCGCTGCAAAACAGAAGTAGTTTATTTTCATGGGTATACTGTTGACGATTGACTATGTGGCCATGATTATTGATTCCATTCTGTTGTATCTCTGCAGATGCGGCAAGACCTGGACGAAGCCATGTCAAGAGAATTAGCCAATCGTGAGTACACCTATAAAGCATTAGAACCGCCGCCGATGACAATGTGATTCGTCGGCGCCTTTCTGAACATTCAAGAACCAACCGCCTTATGAAGAAGAATATAGAAAATGTAACAAAGGTGCGTTGTCCTTCCGCAGCTTCTGTGAAACTGGACATGTCTTCGGCCTGTGTGTCACCTGTGAGTAGAGCAAGGCAACAGTATGCGAATGTACTGAAGAAGAACCATGAGGTATAACCAGTTTGGAGCAAGACACCACAATGGACGATCTGAGGAGGTGGTGGTTTGGTTAAAATGCCACCTCAACCCAACTTAGTCCAACTGCTTCTGGATGGTGTTAGGTCACCGTAGTAATAGTACATTGACTGTATTAGAAGACTACATCTACTCCTTTGAAATGAGCATTTTCTAAGTGACATCAAGTTTGAAACTAAACTTAAAAAGAACAGCAATACCAAAAAAATGTCTCAAGTCTCAACATTTATTGGATTCACATTTTCTTTCTGATCTAGATTGTCAATGGGTGTAACGCAACTCCGTTGGAGAGTAAAAGCTTCAGTTTGGGCTCATCATGTTGGTGCTCGTTGTATTGAATGTTTTGATGTCTCAGTTTCAGTCTGTATTTTTAGATTTAGAAAACCTCATCCATTTGAACAAATGGTATTAACTGAATGGATAAACCTGTGTAATGCAAGAACTGTACAAATCTGATCAGTAATTACCATACCATACGCTGTACAGTCTTCAGCTTTTGAGTAAAATTTCAGAACAGACCTAAAATGCACTTTGACCTTTACATGTAACCTCCAAACTTCGGAATGCGCGTGCCGCTCTTCAATATTTAAGTACTTTTTGCACCACCACTCTGCCTTTCTGCGATCCTTCCAGTCTCTACGTACCTCTTGCTGCACGATGACATCATCGAGCTCAGCGGCCGCTATTGTGACCATTCTGTTTGGCGCCTTACAATGGCGACTTACTCTTGACCAGTAGGTGTCGTCTTGCTCTTTTTGTCCAACTGAAAAACTTATATAGAGTTCTTTGAGCCGTCTTACATTACTGTTTTCATTGTCACAACCACTTTTTACCAATTACCTAAATAAATAATAAACCAATTCTGTTCCCAATTCTTCTGTAAATTCTGCAAAGACGATGGACACTTAAATTTTGAAACTCGGAAGATGTTCGTCATCTCATTCCAGAAGTGGATGTGAAGGAAAGCCCGCCATAGGGAGCAATGACGCAACGACCCGTCTCGTGGTGGCAACTGACCGAGCCGGCGAAGTTGTCTCGTCTCCTCGACCCGTGCGACACGGCGGGTGAGCAAAATGAATGAGCACATTCTACTACGCCGTTGTTAAAAGAGCCAACACCGCGTGTTTGCTTTCCGTCATATTACTTTGGCAATAAATGACCTAAATATCTGTCTTAAGAAGTGAATTGAAAGCAGTCTACTTCCTTTCCCCCCCTTGAAAAAACTTTGACGTTTTAAATGACATCATTCGGTAGAGGCAACTAATAATTTATATGCATAGACGCGTGTGACAATAAAGCCATCGAAATCAATGATATCATGACGCGTCTGAGATTTTCGTCCTTGACTGTTTACTTACATTTCTTGCAAAACCTGAAAAAAAAAAGCCTCACAGAAAGTCACAAAAAGTTTTTGTGGTTGATCATGGAAATGGTCACAACAGCTAGCTCGAGCTTAGAGTTACATTATCGCGACGATCCTGCTCACTTAAGGAAAGTGTGGGTATGTATTCACTCGTATCTCTGTTATTAATTCATATATTTTGGCTTGTGGAAATACTGGATATATTCGCAAATTATCTAGCTATCGTCCCACTATGCCTTACAAACCGGTTTGCGAATAAAGTATTTGACAGCTTTACTGCTGGGACGCGTCACATGATGTATGAGCGTAGTGGTTCTCAAACTTTTTAGAATACAAAGGGCTCAATACTTAGAATCTCCAAGTACCACCATAGAGACCAACAATAAAATGCAGCAGCGTAGGCCAAAGTGTTTATCGAAAACAAGACAGGGTTTTTTTTTCCATAAAGTGTATCTAAAGATATATAAAGATAACATTTTCAAGTAGGCTAGCTGGAATGTTAACACTGTAGCATCAAAACTTAAAACGTCACGTGTCCACATTTAAAACAAGTTTATAATCTCAGAGGGACAGCAATTAATTTATTTAGGTGCATACATGGAAAACTCCCCCACTATCAATGCTGTAGCCTACAGTTCTATTTTATGTATTCCTACATTTGTCGTACTGTTGTTGTGCATTTTTTTCCTAATTCACTTATTGCATATGGTGAACTTCTCTCTATCTAGCTTCTTAAGTTTTCAAACAAACAGTTTAGTGAAAATTGAGGTCAAACGATATGAAAATTTACATAAACTAATTTATTCTTATCGCTCAAAAGTGGTTCTCAGGCAGAAATTCTTTCACGTACCACTGGAGAAAGCCCACATCAAGAAGTCCAAGATGGCGCCCGAGTAGGCAGCCATCTGCAAGTACTCTCATGAGCCTTGCTTTTTTTGTTGTTTTTCTGTTTGTTTTGTCACTTTGTGTTTGTTGTTACGTCGTGTGGACCTGATGTAGACTGTTTTCAGCAATTTTGGCCACAACATTCATCAAGAAGGAGACTCGGTGCTTGGTGGTTTTGCCTTCTCGGCAGCATGGGTATGCCAGCACTGTTTTTGATTGGGAGGAATGTCGGCGCCATTTGACTGTCGTTGCTGGACAGCTCCGGGGGCGCTTGTGTCTTGCGCCTGTAATGGGCAGCATTTTCACAGCCCCGCTTTGTTCAGCGGAGAGATCGGTGCTGTTGAACGGTCTGCGGCTGGATGGATGCAAGGCTTGAGGAGCCGACGATGAGAAGAAAGGAGCGTTAGCGCAGAGCGCCGATGCGGATGTGGAACCGGGAGTCGCGGCTTGGAGTTGAAGCGGATTACGTGGGACAGGAGTAGTGAACTAATCTCTTTTTGTCAATGGACACTACAGCTTCGTGTTTGCTTTCAAAACTTAGCTTGTAGCAGACGTGCACATTTTCAGCATGACGTCTCTGATCCACTGGTAAAAGGACACTTTGATCCTCTCCTCTTTCATCTATAACTGCTTCAGACAACAAAGTGTATGCAGGAAAGTGGTGAAGATTGCACGACTGTCTGTGTCCTATGTGTTGTGTTGTGTTGTGTTATTTTTGTTATTTTGACTTCAAGATGGCGCCGCGTGAGTGGCTGCCTTTCCAGCAGCTCCTATATTTTGTTGTTCTACTTCTTCCATTCATAACTTTGCTGCTGTGAATTGGGAATTTCTCCATTGCGAGACTAATAAAGGTTTTCTTATCTTATCTTACAAATGTCATCATATGGGCTTTTCTTCTTTGAAAAGTAACACTGGGTCTGAACTAAATCTGTCTGTTTTGTGAAGGGATGAGAGCCGCCACCGGTGATCCTTTAACAGCAGTTAAGTAGCAGAGCGTGGCGGTGCCAAAGCATCGCTTTGCTGCTGTGTAAGGATGAAGAAAATATTCAAGTTCCCGAGGAGGAAGACATCATCAATTGATGCATCTGACAGCGCCTCCATAGTCACCACTGCCAGTGATATAAGAGAAAATGAGATGGGCAAGTTTCACAAGGCTGCCTGGCAGGGTGACATGGTCAAGCTGGAGCAGCTTGTCAAAATCGTTGATATCAATCAAGTTGACAAGCAAAACAGGTCAGTGTTGGTACAAATGTGCTGTTTGTCATAGCTCCCAATGTGTATTTGTCGAAGTAACTATACTACTTGGCCATCTTACCTTCAATGTTGTCAGATGAGGTCAAAACTGTCAAACCTCTTGAAACGTGGTGGTTTTAACAGATATCTAAAAATCCAGATCTGGTCGAACACAATCAGCTTCGGAATGCTATTCAACATTTAATTGGTTCAGATGAAGTCCATTTTACCCATTTTAAATTATGGAAATTGAAGTGATCTGTTCATGATTCAGACTCCCTTACGTAAATGCGGCAATCATAATCGGGGTCACAGAGAGCTAAAACTACTATTCGAGCTGACCTTGGGCCAATTAGCGAGACAAAACACCTACTCACATTCACATCTATGGGAGATTTAGAGTCTTCTCTTGAGTTAAGTTAATGAGATGGTGTAGCGGTACACTTGCCTGACTTCTGAGCAGGCAGTGTGGGATTATTCCCACGAAGTGAGTGTGGTTGTTTGTCACTTTGTGCCCTGTAACTCACTGGTGACCAATTCAGGACGTAGTGTGTCTTTTGCCCAAGGCTATACTGATAAATTGCCATAGACCTATTTTAATATTTAAACACCAGTAAGCAATTTCAATAGATCTCTCAAGTGTAAATTTTGAATTCAAATATGCTCACTTTCATATTTGACATTTTATAGTTTTACAAAAAAAAAAGATATATTGAAAAGTAATCTGTCATGTTATAGAACAGCACTTCACCTTGCTTGTGCCCGCGGAAATGTCGAGGTGGTGAGATTCCTCATGGAGAAAAAAGCCCAGATCAATTTATGTGACAATCAAAATAAGTCTGCTTTAATTAAGGTAAGATTGGACATCTACACACTTGGAACCCATTTCGTTCATTGATGTTTTATTTTTTCTCCTAATCTATCATCTGTTCTAATCAGGCAGTGCAAGAACAGCATGATCTCTGCGCCAACATTCTACTGGAAAACAAAGCCGACCCCAACTTGGTGGACACAGACGGTAACGCGGCTTTACATCTGGCCTCAAGCATCCCGTTGATGTCCACCGTCATCTTGCTTGTGAAGCATGGCGCTGACATCAACATCAAAAATCTGGTGATTATCTATGACTTGTCTGACATCAACACGCCTTAACTCACTGAACTGTTGTGCAGTATGCAGGCTTTGTTCAACTACTTTTCATGAGTGGCCCACCATGTAAAATTTAAATTGACGTTGCAGATGTAACAGCCAATAAAAAAAACATGTGCTGGCACGATTAATTTTTCTCCATGTTTTAACGGTGAGCCGTATCCACGGCAACGCCATATACCGATATACTGTTGTTTTACAGTAGTACTCAATTATATTCATAATTTCATACTGTCACTCTCAGAAAAAAAACTATATTCATATAGTCGCTTTGTATTTTTCTACAAACCGATACGATTGGTCAGTTGTCGTAAAGGTCAATGTTTTTACCAAATTATCGATCAAGCTAGCTTGCTCTAATAGCGCAACAAACATGCGCCATTTTCATATTCAAATAGCCACTCTTTTACCGTTGCCCATTTTCTGTGCCAGTTTTTTTGACAATTATGTTTTCGTGGTTCAAAAATGCAGTAGCAGCACACATTGTATGTGGACCCTTATAACTCTATGAAGGGTTGCAGTTTTTCCATTGCAGTGCATCAGATGATATTTGGTGTGCGGTGTAATATCATTTTTTTTTGCCTTGTTCCGCTTTACTTGCATTCGCCCCCATTGGTTGTTACATGTAACTTGAATTCTGCTGCTTATTTTCAGGAAGGCGTTTCACCCCTGACTGTGGCAGTCCAAGAGGACCAAGTAGAAGTGGCAGAGTTTCTGTTGAAGAAAGGTGCCAATGTTAATATTTTGGACAGACATCGGAGGTCGGATAACAAAAACAGTGACACCCTTCTTTGTACATTTAAATTCACCTCTTGTTAAGCGGCTTTTGTTTGTGCACTGTCCACAAAACTTCCAGGTCACCGTTAATGATAGCTGCGGGCAACGGACACTTCGACATGGTGCGACTGCTGTTAAAGTTTAGGGCCAATGTTGAACTGAAGGACAGCAAAGGACATTCAGCGGAGGACTATGCCGAGTTGGAATACCACGATACGTAGGTTGAGCTTCTTTTCTTTGTTCTCACCTGTCGTCATCACAGAGGCATGCTGACGTTTCCATTCTCTTGACTGTCCTCTAGTTGTAGCGTCCTTATCATGGAGCATAGGAGGAAACATGCCGCCTTGCTGGTCCCGCCAAGTCCAAGTAAAAAAAGGTCAAAATCCCTGGAACGTGCCTCAAGCAAAGATGGTAAACACTTTTAATTTACGCATCCATTGTATTTTAAGTATTGAGTAAACGTTCGCTTATTAAAGCGTCCTTCTTGTGTTGATGTATTCTAGTCTGAATGAGAATTGGAAATGGCTGAGCGTACGGTGCAGCTTTGCTCCACCCTTCGCTATTGTTGTCCCTCAAGGTGCAATGGGACCTGACAAGGCGACAAGGTTTAATGCAACCCTGTGCATATCATTTTGAACGAAAACATTTTTTCTGTCCACTCCTGCAGCTGTAAATGTTGACCGCGTGTATTCCGCCGGTGCACACAAAGAGGATCCAAAGCGCAAAGAGGTAGGCCTAATTAGAAGAATGCCGTATGAATTTAGTGATTCTCGTTTTCATTCAAAAAAAATGTTTGTCACCAGAGTGACATGAGCCAACTAATCAAGTTTTTGACCCAATTGGAAAAAGAAAAAAACACAAAATTTGGTAAGTGGAGTAACCCTACTCAACAGTATTCGAGTTGGTGATCAATAGCTTAAGGCATGGCAAGATTGTCCTTAACATCTCTTTGCTTTTCTGACAGACGCAGAAGAACCTGGTTCAGGTGAGGTTCACTCGTCTTGTATAAAGTACCCGTAAGTGTTTGCACTCTATTGCAGTGAAAGACGGTGTCGCAGTATTCAAAGTAAAAATAAAGATATGCATTTGGAATACTGAGTTGAACAAAAAAAGCGAGGAGTCATGCCTGTCGTTATCTTGAGGTCTTCGTTATATGACGCCTTGCTCTCGTTGCCATTGCATCAGACTGGGATAAAACCAGCAACGCCAGTAAAAGGACTCTGCCAGAAGGCTCGGTGGCGTCTCAGATATCTGAGGAATTCCCAGAATGTTCCACATCCTCCGCGGAGGTGAGGGAGGTGGAGGTGCAGCCAAAAGCATCTGGCAGGAGTATCTCAGAGACCGTACACTTGAGCCCACGACCCAGACCTCATTCAAAGAAGATACTTCCGGAGAGTGAAAGTAAGTTCCAGACAGGCCTTTGTCTTTCTGTCACTTTTTAGACTTGTTTTACGTGATATGTGCACTCGCCATTAAAAAGAGAACCCAGCCCAAACTCATTCATTGCAGAATGGATTGTCTTGAGAGCATCCAGCATCCTTTGTACAGTATATATTTCTCAATACAGTGGTGCCTTGAGATATGCGTGACCCGGCGTACGACCTTTTCTAGATAGGGGCCGATTTTTGCGGATCGTTCCTTGAAAAAGTGCCATTCAAACGGTTTCATGTTACTCCCAGTTGACGTTGACTGTCCAACTAAACGTAAAGCAAGGAGAATCACAATTTGTGTATTTCAAACAAGCAAACTTTGCAAATGAATGGCCCTGCTAGCTTAATGAGAGCGGCCAGATGGGCTAACAACTAGCATCAGTAGTTGCAGTGCATTCACTCTTCAAGCAACAGATATTTGAACAAAAAATGGTGGAGCAACACATTTAACCCCTCGTTCTCCATACCGCTTATCCTTACCCTGAACTGGTCGCCGGCCAATCGCAAAGCACATGTAGACAAACAACCTTTCACACTCACCTTCAACACCTACAGACAAGTTAAGTCTTCAATTATCCTACCATGCATGTTTTTCAATCTCTGACCTGTTAGGTGGATAACCAGTTGCCCACATTTAGAGACAAAAATTACAATACTTACAGGCGTATATTCTTGATCCTCTGACAAAAACGGCTAATGTGCTTTCAACGTAACTGAGTTATTGAGAGTAATGGTGACACTTCGTTTGTGTCTATATGACTGTATTGTGCTGCCCCCTGCTGGCCAAGGCATGCACACCAGAAGGGCCCGCCGAATTAATCGAATGGATGCATTAAAACCTGAACTTTCATTCCTTGAATTCTTTTTCATTATTTTATAATTTTGTTCTCAAAAGTGCTATTTTCCTTATTAAAGAAAACAAACACGTTACTAGTTTTATTTCGGGGGGAAATAGGGGCAGAACGGTTTATTGGCATTCCCATTCATTTCAATGAGGAAAGATGATTGAAGATATGTTATGAGCGTGAACGAATGATACTCCTATCTCGAGGCACCACCTCATGTGTATAAACATTTTCTTCACATGATTTTACTAATTTGGTCATTTCTACTCTTCAGAATCTGATTACGACCAAGATGTTATATTTGTATCCTGCTTTAAGCCCAAACCCGAAGATCGGCATCATAAAGAATTCCCTGGGCCAGGTACGAAGACTCACGGAGCATTTGTCAACAGGTCGACTCGCATACTCGAGTCCCGTTCTCTTTGTAAGCACTTTCTCTTCTCAGGCTCCCCTGGTACCTCAAGAATGTCAAGAGACATCAGAAGTCGTTTGCAATCTGACAAGGAAGCAGGCAGTAAACCAAAGGGGAGAAATACGGAGGTAATTTCTGATATCCAATATATTTCCAGTTTAAGTATCCTCTTAAGAAACAACATAATGTGTTCCCCTGGCTTGGGGGCGTTGGTGTCGTGGTAGGGGGAGGGGAGGGTGACATCATTAAGATGATGTCACCGCTTTATATCAGATCTCTAAAGTTTTTGGTGTCCCCTATCACTTAAAGCACATCAAATCCTCTAAGTAGAAGTGTGAAAGGTTATGGCATTCGCAATTGGGGAAAAACACCAAACATGTAAATATTAGGCTGACTGTCATAAATCATACAAATGGGATTTATTATGTGTGGAACCCACCCGTCCGTCTGTGTCAGCCAGTACATCTGTGTTCACCCTGTGTGATGATCAAGTTGTAATGTATTGAAAAGTCTGCTCTATTTATGCGCAGGGGATAGAATGTCTATTAAAATCGCCCGAGGAAATTTTTTTGAGCTCTTTGCGATACTCAATGTAATATAATTCCACCAAAGCAAGCAGTCGGCTCGAGGAAATTTTTTTGAGCTCTATGCGATACTCAATGTAATATAATTCCGCAGTCGGGCTTCAATCTTCTATTTAAAAAAGATATTTAGCATTATCTTTTTGAGGGAGCACCACAAGAAGACCATGTTCTCATTTGGGTAAATGGCCAACTTTGTTTCCAACCTGTTGAGTAGCTTGACACATTGGTAGCAATGATAGCTTGTAAGGTTAAGTAAAGCAAATGTAAACGGGTGACGTTGAAAAAGACTCAAGTAACCCGATGGCTGACCTTGACGAACTCCTCTTGCAGTGGTCTTTTCAGGTTACCAAAGAGCCTGCTCCGATTGTTTCAATGAAAAATCAGAATATTAGCGACGTCGGTGGAAGAAGATCCGGAGGACATGCAAGTGACAAAACGGAGAGTTCGATGAGCCGCAAAGGCAGTTCATTGAGAAGCAAAGAAATGTCAAGTCAAGCTGACGCCTCTTTGCATTCAAAGAAGCAGGCAGCAAGGTATGCACAACTCCATTTCGCCACAGTGGTTTTAATCGCGCATATGTGCAAGTATAGTTGGCAGTTTCACATTAAAAAAAAAAATCCCCGACACACTACCAACTTGCTGCCATAATGTAGTACACTGCTACCTTGACTTATAACTTCATGATTTTTCGTGACCAAGCTCGTAACTCATTTCAATCTTCCATTAAATCTGTTTTCTCCATTGAAATGAATCAAAGAGACCTTTAATCCGTCACAGCCCACCCAAAACACGCAATGACTTTTTTTTTTTAAAAAAAGAAGAGAATGTAAGGAAATTGTTTTATATATTGTAAGCAAGGTGAAATTAACTCATATGTTGATCTGTGCTTTGGGGGCTACCTGATGCCCACGGCCAGCACGTAGGTGACTCCTGACGTATATGGTGAGTAGATTGACCTCGTTACAGCTGTTGGACTTTCAACCAAGATAGCAAGTAGCAGCTAACCCAACAAGTCACCAGATTGACTAGCAATGTTCAATCCTCATTTTTTCAAGTCAAGTCAAGTACAACTTTATTGTCAAATGCTGTACTTGACAACTCAAAGCAACCTCGGTGTAGTTACCCTACACACAAAAAAACCGCATGACGTGATATTTCATGTTTTGTCGGAACCTGGAATTCGTAAATCTTGCTAATAGCGTCTGTATCATTTTTAACAAGTAAATAGCTGAAAGTACAGCTCATCAATTGCACAGAAGCTTTTACTTATAGACAAAAATCCAATTCTGGGTTTAAGCCAGCGGGACACAGCCGGCCAACCACCGTTGAGACGCAAATACAGTGCACATATATTGTGTTTTACAATAATATGTAACCATATTTGATCATTTCTTCATTCATATGTACCATGGATGAAATAGTGCAATTGTGATTTTTCTAGTGGCACACAAAGCTCGCGACCCATGCACATTCATGCTAAATTGAAAGTTCAATCATTCATTTGACCGCCTCTCCAAATCGACGGCTTGCCGACCTCATTCTCTGGTGTCTAAAACCCAAAGGCGGGGACCGGCTGAGCGGCAAGGCTCCGAGCTGTGGCTAGAGACCTCATTTAAGTGGAAGGGGCTCGGCAAGCATTTTGCACGCTCTTGAAAATTTTTAGCCCAAGCTTCTCAATTTCACCCATTGGAACATATGAAATTGTAAACATGGTTGCGTATTGTTGTAAAATACAATCATATGTACTGTATATACTGTATTGTTATGACGTGCCGGCCAACTTTGTCTCAATGGTTTAAAACCAGGAAATGGCAGCGGAGTTCATTGGCTCATCACTTACTGTAAGAAATGCCAAGATATGTGGTGTCACGGCCGCAGGTTCTGAGAACCGATTCCAGTATAACCGCATTTCACTGAAAATGAGAAATGGAAAACCTACCACTCAGGACTAAGCAAGGAGCCTGTATGATGGAAAATGGGCCAACGTGATGGCATTACAGTACCTTAATTGCTTTTTTTTTTTTTTTGGTTTAGTTTTGTTTTTGCGGAGTCGTGTCTGAATTGTGCTCATCATGCAAAGCAAAAAACGGACCGCGTATCGTTCCAAAACTAAAATACTCAAAACTTGTAAGTACTAAGTCAAGGTACCACTGTACATACTACCACTAACTGCTCCTAAAAATTAGTCCTTTAGTTCTTGTCCTCGTTAGGGTCAAAGGTGAGCTGGAGCCTTGTCCATCTGACCGCAGGTGAGAGGTCAGGGTGCACCCTGGACTGGTCACCAGTCAAGTCACAAGGCACAATTAGACAAAACATCCATTCAGTCACACATTCACACTTGTGGACAATTTGGAGCAGCTATTTGCAGACCAAGCCCTACCACAAGTCATTGATGCGCCCCCGGCAAAACAAAAGATTACTTGCTTGTGGAACGGGACTTCGGGCCGGTGTGGCCGCTTTAACGCTCATTGTTGTCGCCGCCTGGAAAAAAGCCGTGTGATATCCCAGTGGCAAATATTCCAGCCTCCGGAGGCTTTCAGTCAAACAATTTTTACTTAATCATTGGAATTTTCTCTCTGGTGTTTCTACGTTAGAAGACATTTATTCTCACTCGACAGGGACTTAAATTACAATGGTTGGCTCCAGCACACACGTGACCCTAATGTGGCTGAGCGCTCTCGAAGATGAATGGAAGATGAAAGAATTATAAATACGAGTAAAATGAATCTGGCATTGGAGCAAAAATGAAATGCCATTGAGAAATTAAAAGAACAGGACAGCACGGTGACTTAGCGGTTGACATGTCTGTCTCACATTTCTGAGGTTCGGGGCTCGAATTTCTGGCCTTCCTGGTGTGGGGTCTCTGGATTCTGCGGATTCCTTCCCACATAACAAAAACACACATTAGGTTCATTGAAGACTGTAATTTGTTTATAGGTTTGGGAGGTGTTTTGTCGATATGTGTGTTAGGTCTAAAGTCTAAAAGACTCGACCGACCCGGGCAAAGAACAGGCACACACACGGAAATAAGGTTTTGACTGCTGCAGCAGGGAAGAACAGGGAGGACACGAGGTCACAGTGTGCTCGGCTCACAAGATCTCCTGTTCCACCTGGATCCTCCCGCCGCAAAGTGTTTTTATTAAGAAGAAAGGATCATGCGCAATGCAAACAATGGAAAAGTACTGGTGAAATTCTGTGGGATCGTGTGAGGAATGTGGTGCGTGTGGGAGATGTTCATGTGGGAGATACTTTGTGTGAACACATAGGTACAAGATAAAATGAAACAATGGGCCATTGAGAAATACACACAAATATAAGAGCTTACTTTACAATGTGCCCTTCGAATGACGGGCGCCCAATCGAGATCTCACCCGATGTCAGCTTGGATAGTCTCCAGCTCACCCGCAACTCAAATGAGGACAAGGGGTATCGAAAATGGACGGATGTATTCTAATCAGATTATAAAATACATATTTTTTTTTTCCAGATCGGGGCAAAAAAAATGCGCTCATAGAATTAATGAGCAGTTTTCCGCTTAGGAATCAAGGATGCGTCGAACGGATCTTACAGTTTGACTTTGATCTTAACGTTTGCCTTGTGTTTCCGTAGCAGACCACTGGGGTTATCGCCACTGCCACAGCGATTCTCCATTGCGGACAGACCTGAAGAGCAGACGGCAGAGAGGATCTCACAACTGGAAGTAGTTAGCAAGGCTCACTCCACCAGAGTCGTTCCGAGCAGCCGAGATCTCGTTGTGAACGATGACACTTTAAGCGATGGGTCGGATGATGAAGGAAGGTAGATACCGGTTGCGGCATCTCCTGCGTGTTTATCGTCGTACCCTTTGGCGCGGATGCACAAAAGTGTTCTTCTTGAGTCTTATCCAAGTTGTCGAGAGTGCACGTTAAAAGTACATGCATAGTTTGATTTTTTTAAAATATGACGATGTTAAGAATAGTGAGGAACCTTCAAAGTTGGACACAATGTCGTGCGGCGCTTGTTTACTGTTCGTCTTTTCATTGCATCGGAAATAATGCAGAGGCACTTCCTTCCGAGCACCGTAAACCTGTGCAATGTACATCACCAAGTAGAATTTTATAAGTATGTACGGTAATATGAATCATCAAAGTTTTGGTCTTCAAGTTTGAGGCATATTTCTAAGGACAGTTTTGATCGAACTCTCAAATTGTTGACTTTTGCCGCGTTCAACTTTGGAGCTTCCGCCGTCGGGTCGTATTTGTGGTCGATGCCGACTGAAGTCAACTTGACTGGGATAAACCTTTCAGACCTTTCTAACAATAACTTTCTATTTGTTGGCAACAGGTCGCACCCCAAACAGAAGCTGAAAAAACAGGTAAACAAAATGAATGGAATGTGTTTTCACTTGTCGTCAGTTTTAAAAGTGAAATTCAATGCAGGAAAGTGGGAATTGAGATAACACGTTCTGTTTGTATATTCAGCGCATCGACGAAATGGAGATCTCCGAGGAGCTTGATGAGATTACGTCCTCATCAGATGGGACTCTTGAAGAAGGTGATCCCCCCCCTCACCCACCCTATGTATCAACCTAGTTTATAGGCTGTAGACTTCCTCATGTTAATGTTTTTTTTTTTTTTTCTTTCACCAGATAACCAATTTAGGGTGAAGCTGGAGGACATTGTAGGCCAACAAAACAAGCACCCCATTCTGAAGCCAAAAGACCATCATGGCTGCGCGGTCAAGGTGACCAAACTAAAAGAGGAGAAGGCACAATTAAAGACCAAAATGGAGGAGGTTAAAGATGATCAATGTGTCATGGAGCACAAACGCATGCAAATGGAAACGGAGCTCGCAAACCTCAGGTAAAACCTTTTTTTTTTCTTGACGCACTCGTCGCTGACAAAAGTCTTTGGGCTGTGCTGAGCTTTTTTTTTTTTTTTGGTCAACATGAACAGATCATCATCGAAACAACAGCAGGAAGATTGGCTTAATACCATCAGGATGTCCCAACTCAACAATACCAAGGTGAGAAAGAACGGCGGGCGGCAGTGATTTTGGAATTGTCCGAACGTTGTTGTGGATTTGGAAATGATTTGACCTTTCGCCCTTGCGCCTTGCGTTTCATGGACCCCCAGCTTGAAGAGGACCTCCGACAGGCCAACGTGCAGTTGTCTCAGGAACGTTGCACAAATGCGCAGTTGCAGCAAAAGCTCAAGAGTCAGGACTGCAAGCAACAGACCATGGAAGAGGACTACAAGAGAACCAAACATAACGCGGTATTTCTCAAGCCTTTTCGAATGTTTTCTGCTTGGGAGTAGTTTGAATATTGCAGATCAAGTACACAAAAATGATGATTATTATTATTATTATTATTTTATTTCCCGTGGAAAGTATCTCAACCAATTTTGAAGCCTAATTTGCCACCCTTAATCTTTCAGGAGCATCTGCGGACAGAACTTGAGGTGACCCAGGCACACAGCAGCACCAAACAAAGGGACCTCATTGAAGAGAACGAAGCCCTCAAGGAGCAGCTTGAAGAGCTTCGCCAAGATCTCCGACTTACAAGCGACAACCAGGCCCAAAGTGTCTTGGAGTGGAACAACATGATTACGGGATTGAAGTGTGAAGTGACCCTCGCGAATGCCCGACTGGAGGCTCAGTATCAAGCTCATAGCGTATTGGAAGGCGAGACTCAGGCCGTCCGCACCCGCCTGGCAGAGGCCGAGCGACTTCGGGTGGAAATGGACAAAGCTCTACTCCAAGAGAAGGAAGAACAGCAGCGGCTCAAAGACAAACTTGCAAGTTAGTAGCGGCGGGGCTGTTGGACTTTTCTTTTGCCGTATGATTTTCCTATTTTTGATTCGATGGTGGCAGCGCAGCAATGTAGTAATTAATCCGTCCGCCTATGAGTGAGAGGTTCTCGGTTAGTATTTCCGCTCAGGCCCCGCCCCCGTGTAGCGTTTGTATTTTCTCCCAAGTGCTCGTGTGGATTTTCTCCAGGTGCTGCGGCTCCCCCAACACAATTGAAAACATGCTTGTTAGGCTTACTGAAGAGTCAAATGTTGTTGGTGTGGGTATGAACGGTTGTCTTATTGAATTCTAATCGTCATCTATGCGTCTTGACGGCTAGCTAGCTCGTTCACGTGTTTTGTCACATCACGCTAAACAGAAAAAGGCCAGTACCAATCATTTGACTTGACCAATTGAATGCTTTTTTGCAGGTGAGTTGGCCAATCAACGAGAAGCGTTCACCAAACTATCCCAGAAGCTGTCCAAGTCCAAGTCACATGGCAACTCAATGGAGAACGAAGTCCATCGAGTGGAGGTGCAGCTGACGGAGAAAAATGCGCAGATCGCCACCCTGCAGCGTGAAATCGACCAGATAAACGCACGCGTCAAAGAGCTGGAAGCGCTTCTGCAGACCGAGAAGGACCTCGTCAGCTGGGCCGGAGCGCGCCAAGAGGCCACGCAGGAGCTCCTCGGCCAGTCCCAGAGCGAAGGCATCATGCTGCGGCAAAAGCTGGAGGAGGCCCAAAAACAGTGCGCTGCAAAGGAGATCGCCGTGTCAGACGCCCAAAAGTGTTTCACTGAAATTTTGACCAAGCTTCGCTCAGACTGCGAAGACAGAGTACAACTCGTGCAGGACAGGAATCAGGATCTCGCGACCAAGGCCGCTGAACTTCGAGAACATATCCACCAATTACAGGAGGAGAAAAATGACAAAGAGGTACAGTCAAATGATTTCAGACTTTGGTGATCCCCCGTCTAAACGTTGTCTCTGGGTTTTGTGCCGCTCCAGGCTAGTCTGAAGCAGTTGCAGGCCGACTGTGCGGACTCGTTGATGAAGCTCTCAAAGTGTGAAGCCTCTCTCGAACTCCACGAGCGATATCGCAGTGAATCAGAGGAAGAGAAAGCTCGACTCTACAAAGAAGTGGACCGGCTTAAAAGAAAGGTACCCAAAGTGAACGCTCTCATCGTGTTTTTGTCTTGTTTTTTTTCCTGGCACTGGTTGTGTTGCTGTTTTATTTTGCTGACGAGCCTTGCGCTATGTCGTGCAGTTGGAGGAAAGGGAATCCCACTGTAATCACGCTGAGAAACTGGCGACCAATCTCAGGAGTCGTCTGGATGAAAAAGAGCAACAACTCAGCGTTACTACTCAGAAATACAAGGAGGCAGCATCTGAACTAGCCTCCACCAAAATCTCTGTCAAACAGCGGGACGAGCTTATCCACAGGTACTGGACACACCACAGTTTCACATTTTTGTTTGTCGAGCATCTTTTGTTCTCTTTTTATCATGTCATATCAAAGTACACCCCACACACACACACACACACACACATTTGGGAAAAAGCAAATCCAATTTATATTGCTACGTTACATAGAAGACTCACATTAGCGTGAGCGGTTTGTCATATAGGCGACCCGGCGGGGTCAATTCCAGCTCCGGCCTCCCTGTGTGGAGTTTGCGTATTCTCCCCGTACCTGCGTGAGTTTTCTCCGGGTACTACGGTTTCCTCCCACATTCCAAAAACATGCATGGCAGGCTGATTGAACATTCTAAAATTGTCCCTAGGTGTGAGTGTGAGCATGGTTGGTTGTGCGTCTCTGTTGTGCCCTGCGATTGGCTGGCAACCGGTTCAGGGTGTCCCCCGCCTACTGCCCGAAGATGGCTGGGATAGGCTCCGGCACCCCCAGTGACCGTTGTGAGGGAGGATAAGTGCATCGGAAAATGGATGGATGGATGGGTTGTCATATGCTTGAAAGGGAAAGCCAAGTCAAAAATTTTCTTGGCAATAATATTCATAAGTCCAGCATAAACATGACATTCTGATCGAATTGATTTGTGTCAAACGAATGGAGGAGCAAAATCCACCTCGGGGCGGACATTTTGTCTTCTGCTGTCAACCAAAAATGACCTCACAAGTGCCTGAAGGGCCCGAATAGTGTCCAAACACGGCCGTATTGCATTAAAAACATTTTTACTTGATTTTTCTTTTACGGTTTCATGAATGTATTTATTTATTTCATCCTGAGAATAAGTGGGGTGATTTTATGTGATGCACAAAGCAAAGCTTTCTATTTGTTTCCCTTCTACAATTTGGAGCCCATGTTTTGGAAACCTAAAAATTTTAGTTAGGTGTTGATGAGATGATTTTTTTTTTCTTCTTTTTGAACCATGTACTGCATGTCAACAGCATGTTCTTATTTGTTTGACTGCGTTAAGGCAACGAATGGTACTTAAGGGTGCAAAGAGGAAATTGCGTGATCACCAAGCAAGCGAAATAGAGAGAGAAAAGGTTTGTCGACCAATTGATTGCGCCGCTTTAAACATCGACAGTGCACCTGTGCCTCATAATTTCTATTTGTTTCGCACCGAACGTGACCAGGTGAATGAGCTGCAGGCCGAGCTGAAGAGGCAAACGACCTTCCGCAGTCTTCTGGAGAAGAATAAGAAGCAGTTGGAGGACGAGGTGCAGAGCCTGAGACGCAGAGTGGAGACAAACACGGTGGAGCACAGGCACGTGGAACAGTACCGCCGTGAAATCGAGGAGAAGGCCCGACAGGAAATACAGAAGAAAATACACGAGGTCAACCTATTCTTGCAGGTAGAATAACACCGAAATGATGACAAAAGCAAAACAAGACGACGGTGTCGTCAGCATTTGTTCGGTTTGCTCTCCCAGTCCCAGGCAGCGACGCAGGAGGCACAAGACCAGATAAAAACCACCACCGAAGTCAGCCTGCGCGCCAAAATCCAAGAATTGGAGGGCGAACTGAAACGAGCGCGAAGCATCCATCACGACGCCATCGCCCAGAGAGATGCCATACACAAAGAGCTGAAGCGCTACAGGCAGATGCACAGAGAAGAGCAGTGGCTGCGCAAGTCCCTCAGTAACGACCTCAAAAGGTTTGAAGGCGGCGCTTGAATTTGAGCAAAACGAATGCGGTCTTCGCATTGGTCGCGCTCGGCTCGGTTAAAAGCAACTTGAGATGCGAGCGCTTTGTGACGGCCGTGAGCACAACGCAACTCGTTTCATGAGAAGCAACGGTTTTGGCAACGAGTGAACAATCCATCAAAAAAGGAGGATATGTTGGGCTACTGGCACATAGGACAGTAACCTCTGGAATACAAACAACATCCATTCTTCCATTAGCTGATCCGCTTTATCTTCACCTGTGTCAAACATACCAGGATAGGGCTCTGATCCCCAGTAGGGGGATGCATCATATCACTTTATTTATTTGTTTATGCTTGTCATATATGACGACTTTAAAATACCACATTTTTTTCAGCAGGCATGCTGTGTGCGCAAACTTTGGTGAGCTTTTGTTCATGTTTTGGCCCTTAAATATGTGATTCATTGCGGAAAAGAAGAATGAAAATGCAAAAATCTGAAATAACTCACCCAGTCGAGCCCCAAAAAAAAAAAAAAAACTCACTCATTACCTTGTAAACGGACCAAATATGAGCACCGTGTATCTGTCCGGACAGTACTCCAAGTGTGAACACATTGTCAGTCTTGTCAGTGGAGGCAAAATGCTTGTTTCGTGTCTGCAGGAGTAACAACCGGCTCACAGAAGCCAATTCCAAATTGCTCAGCGAGCGCTGCAAGTCTCTCGTGTCGTCAGCAATCCCGGGGATCGCCGGCCCCGCGGCTTCTACCTCCACCGCGATGGCGGCACCATACAGGATGCGCAACTCCAGAATCCTCAGCCCTGTGGCTGAAGGATCGAGCAGCAATGTGGAGGATTACCTGTCCAAGGTTTGTAAAGACGCTCATCACCATTTGTGTGAAACATTTTCTTTTCTTTTTTTTTTGTTTTTTTTTAATTTTTATTAGACATTGTTATTTCATGACTCATGGTGTTTCTTTTGAAAATATCAGCTGTACCAAGTTATGGAAAAGGTTAAGTCTTCTTCACATGTGTATGTATTCTTCCTGTTCTTTTGCCTATTACACCAACACAGACATTGGCCTTTTGTCCACATGTACAGACATGTGCCCTCATGCTTTTTTTAAATGGAGACACATTGTAATTTTTTTTTTCCCCACAATTTACGCAAACTCTTGTGAGGTGTCTGACACCCGTCTGTCAAAATACGCGAATGATGAAGAATTACCCTGCGTTTTTTATATCATGTTGAATGAAATCACTCGGTTGGGGGGCGGGGCTTAGGTGATGGGAGCTGTCATCAAAAATTTAAGATGCGAGAGCTGTGTGGTCGCCATGGCTCACTTTAGCATATTGTGAAAAATGTTTTCGAAGAGGGCTCATTCAAGCTGTTTAATGCTGCTCACGGTTAAAGTTTACTGTCAAACTAAAAAGAGCCTTCCATAGCTTTGTCTTAAGATAAGATAAACAGCAGCAAAATTAGGGTGGTGGTGGGGGGGGGTTAAGTATTTCATAGAAGGTCTGCTCAGCTTTAAAATCATTATCCTTTGCAAAAAAAAAAACAAAACAAAACACAGCAGCAGCTCTTACATCAGATTTCAAGCTTAGTTTTGACATATCTATGTATGCTGTATATTATACTGCCCCCAGGTGGCGGGCGCGTGCACACTGTTTTGACCTATCTATGAATGCTGTATCTCTGTATTATACTGCCCCCAGGTGGCGGGCGCGTGCACACCACGAGGACTAGCACGGTCACATTGAACCACAAACCACAAACCATTCATTACATTCTATTTAATCACGTTTTCACTGCATATTAATATAAACTGCAATATTAAAGAGTGATACTTGCTGTCAAAAAAAATAATAGAGAGAAAACATGTTATTACAACATGCTATGGTTTTTCTTGCTTCAAAAACGAATGCTTGTGCGTGTACTTGCCTTTCAAAATCAAACACTTTTCCAAATAAATGCCCAACATGCACATATAATCATATTTATAAACTACTCGGGCAATTACTTTTTCAATTGCCAAGTATGGATATCAAAACACATGTTTTGTAGGAATGAGGTTTTCTGGTGCACAGCAAATGATTCAGTGTGTGTGTGTGTTGTGTGTTTTTTGTATTTTACTTAAGAAATCAAAGCAGAGTAAAAACTCCAGTCCCCTTCACATCGATCACCTGTATGTACCTTAGCTTCCATTTAACAGACAGAATGTCACGTGGAAACACAACATTTGGAAATTGAGTCGATTTGTTTTCCTTTCAGCGCTGAACACAGAGAACGCTCGCAGCAGACTGAGGGAAATCGATGAAGACGAGCAAGGGTGAGGACTCTGAATTGACTCCGGCATTGTTGCCCGCACTGTTTCAGTGGTTGGCTGACAATGATTTGTGGCCGTTGCCGTGTCATGTGACCGTCCCATCCCCCCTCCTCAGCCAAAGCGACTCTTGATGTGCACATGGCCCGCATGCCTCAAGGATGGAGCCGGACCCTGTTACCAGAACCAAGCAGCAGTGCTTCAGTGGTCTTGAAGAACAACCGCGAGGAATGTCCCTGCAGTAACAACAAGCCGAGAAAGATGTGACTGACAACTTCAGAAGCATCAGACTGAGACGACTCCACTCGAGCTCATAGTGCTTGCTGGCTGTTGGCTCTTTTTGCATGAATAAATGCATATAAGGAGCATGGCCCTAGCCCACCATTGCTCTTGTGATTTTGGCACTACATTTCAAATACGGACTGCACCGACCTCATCTGTCACGTTCCACCAAGATTACAATTTCCCCTTAATGGAGAAAAGTACGCGCACACAATGCACATTGCACTTAAGCACTCACGCCTTTAGCCACACCCCCGATGTGACACAGTACTTGAACTGTTGACAATTGGCCAGCTGCACAATTTGAAACGGCTCCATGTGATCGAGTGCAATCTTAATGACGCCGCCAAGTACAACCACAATTCGCACTTTTATTACCTCCCTTGGCGGTGTCGGTCTAAACCAGTATGAAAAGGCAACGTTTATGTTCTGGTGAGATTGCCAATGTAACTAAGGTGGCTAATTGGTGTGTCTCTACCGCATACTGTATCTTGCATCGTAAAAGAGAGAAATTATTTTTATAAGCATCATACAGTAGAGATTTTTATATATAATCCTCGTTTGGGATTTTTATCTGTTTTTGCTGTTTTTGATTTGATGTATGTATCATTAATTATTTGATATGTGCCATCATAAGGGGAGATGTTTGTCTTGGCTTTAGTGTTATAATTTATTTTTTTAGGGAACAAGGGATTGTGACTTATTCTCATGTTGCTGCATTTATGTTGCCATTTACCGGTACATGTTCTGTCCTTTGTATTTGTGGTCATATTATTAGTTTTCTGTACATATCTTGTATCTTTTTATTTTTTGTCATGATGTAAATAGAGAAATTTTGTAAATCTTGTAAATTAGCCGAACGTTGTAAATAAATGTGTGCAACAGCCCAAACTGGAAGATATTTGGTAGACATAGCTGCTAAATCACCATTATGTATACATATGCAATTTATGTACACCGTTGAACTTTAATTTTATTATTAAATAAGATATTCAGTTCCTCTCAGGTTTATATGTTTTGTTTTTATTTGCTGCAAGGCTAGCTAGCTTAAATGACCGACAGGGCTCTCTCGTGTCTCATTCTTTTGACAGCAGGTGTGGGCAAACCTGTGTTGAAGGAATGTTTGGTTATTTTTATTTTCATTTTTTGGTCAAGGTGATGATAAAATAGTATATCATAATTGAACAAGAATTCAACTTATTTCTGGATAATTAGCCATTTAATAAAAATAAATTCAACTGGGGATAAGAGGTTTGCTAAAGAAGTAGCAAAATGACTTTGCCGTTATGTGATGTCATCACGTTATTATTTACAGCAGTAATTATCCAAGTGGTTGGTGGAGGGGCTCCCTGTAATGGCAAAAGTGTGACTGAAAATGATCAAATGGCATAATGTAACAGTGGCTTCAACTTTTTCATTTAATAATAAAATTAAATCCAGCACAGTACAAAAATAAAAAAATCTGTTTCAGGGGTCTCAGACTCCAGTCCTCGAGGGCCGCTATGGTGAGAGATGGAAAACATGCAGAAAAGAGGCCTCTGAGGACCAGAGTTTGAGACCCCCTCATTTCGTTTTTTTTTTTTTTTTTTTAAGCGCGTTTAGCCTTTAAGTCCCTTTTTAAATATTCCACTGAAAATGTTGCTCGTTGCTTTTGGGGGAAAAATTTGTAGTCTATAAAGTTGCTAAATCTAGCAACAAAAGTCCTAAATTGTCGGTCATGAACACCACAATGCTGCAAGTTGGTGAAATTTACAGTGCTGTACTGGTGTTTGTTGATGTGGACTTCAAAATAAAACCTAATTGATGACTTAAGGTTTCCGAGACGTTTATTTTGAAATAAAGAATCGGGGCGGTTTCCTTTCTGTGAATCGAAATGAAAGACTCCCTGCCCTATGTGACGTTTTCTGGACTCCGCTTATTGAAACTGGACTTGTTCATCGTAGCGTGTACTCCGCTTTTTCTTGCAACACCGACGTCATTTGATGGCTTTTGCATTTGAAACGCTTGTATCGATGGAGTCCAAGTGGCGCACTAACCGCCCGGAACCACCGACATTGTACATTTAGTCGGTAAGTTACTTCTTTTTTTCACTTAATATTCCGGTAACATGACTAATATAACGTGAATGCTGTCGTGTGGGAAGCAGCTCCAACGCGGCCTTGACAAATGTTTAGTGGGGCATTCCAGGCCACTGAGAAGTTAAAATCCTGGCAGACAAGGTCAAACACAGCATGCTACCATTAGCCAATGAGGCTAGCCAAATGCACGAGACGAGGATTCACAGTTCTTGAAAAAAAAAAAAATGCTGTCGCTGTGATTTATTTCAACTCTTAGCCAGACACCGAGAAGAAAATTAAATTCGTGACATTAACACGGTCGATAGCCCCGGCCTTGTTGCTATTTTTTTAAAAAAAAGACATTTCGAATTGTCTTGACAAGTCTGGGCTCCGTCCACAAAGGTTGAATCAGGCAACTGGAGTTTTCCAATGCTTGAGAGACGTTTCACCTTTAAGGTTGCTGCAGAAAACAAATTGTAGGTGTGGAGTCTCGATTTATGCATCTGGTGGGTGTGATCCCTGGGAGTTTGATTCAAGGTGTTGTGGCTGGTGAACGACCGTCCTGCAAACTAACCCGGGGGCAAAACAGCTCGTTTTCCCTTGGAACAAGGTCTGAAGGGAAGAAGTGTCAGGAGGGTGTTGTTATCAGTGGGCAATAGGTCATGGGTCTCGAACTTGTTTTCTTCACATTTCTCTTTTGAGTTTCCCCATCGTGGTGAAGTAATGATAAAACCACGTCGATGAAAGTGCAACATCAAGTGTTTTGTCTTTTTATGAAGTGAAATAGTGAATAGCCTGAATTGTTTTGCCATCCAAACGCACATAATTGCGTTTGTTACTTCTTTGGTTCCATGTGAAGAGCCAACCTAAAAAAATGTCCCCATCATATTCCATAATTGCCCCTTCATTTGTTTATTATTTTCATGACTCGTTATGAAAAGTTGTGGCAAACTGCTTTGAGTCTCACCAAATGACACTAAGGGCTAATTTGACAAAAGATGGTTTCATTCTCACCTCTTTCAAGACACACATTTAAAAATTGAAACCCGAAGACTTTGGATTGAAGATGAAACATTTTCCAAAAAAAACAGAAAAGCCAAGTTGCCTTGAGCCAACCTTTGCCGAGTACCGTGTCCTGGTTGATTGACTATCTACACAGACATGTCGACTACATGTTTTTTTTTGTCAGGTCGGGCGTTTCCAGACCACTTGGGGCTCCGGGACAATGAATAAACAAATAGATCTCGGATGAAATAATGGACGCAACCAAACCCTGCTTAGAATAAACAAGGCTCCTTCCTCGGGGCCCCAATTGGGAGTTTCCTGAATCCCGACGTGTCATTGCAGTGTCTCAACGGGGTTCCAGTTTGTGTCATTAATATGGACCAATATCAGTCGTCTCCTAAGGCCCCCTACTACAGTAGTCGCCAACCGGCAACAGGTAGTAAGAGCCCCCACGTGGCAAATCCCTACACGGTGTCCTCGCCGTGTCTCGATGCAATTGACCGGTTTTTGCCTGGCCTGTTGCGGAGTCTCCGGTAGTAGTGGGAGGCAATTCCTGATCTCCTCCTTCGTCTCTTGGCCGAGTAACACTCTTTTCTTTCCTGTCAGGGTGCATCACAGTCGCTTGGGTGCGGCTGACACGAGTGACGCCTGACTGGAGAATTTAAAAGCAGTCGAGCCCGCCCGGTTGATCCTTTTTGAGAGGCAACGGCGGAAGCCATGAAGCTCGAGGCGAGGAGGAGCTGCGCGGCCCCGGCGAACGCAGCCGGAAGGTGCGCCCCGGAGCCGGTCAACAATGGCGCGGGTGAGCCCGGCTGCCCCGATCCGAGCTCCACGCTTAAAGCCAAAGTCACCAAGCAGAGCTCCAGGGAGAGCCTGCAGCGGAAAAACACGGAGTGCGAAGTGTACGACGACGGGACGAACACGTTTTTCTGGTGAGTGCTTTCGGCTCATGTCAACTGTTTATACAAGTGTTTCTCCAACCTTGATTGAGGTAAGGTACCGGTACTTATTTTTTCTAAAATTCACCAAACAAATACATCCCCCAAAATACTGATCTCAATTTGCTCAATAATGTACTTACTTGGTGTGAAATATCGGCCAAAGCTATTATAGTGGCACCTTGACGTAGAGCTTTGCGATGTGACGATATACGGTATATCGTAGATACTGTATAAAATGTGATATAACGATATGTGGTTGATGGAGAATTGACAAACACAATGTTATCATGTTTAAAAGTTTCATTTTGTCGCATGCTTGATGGACCTCGAACGCGTGTTTTCATACAGCTTGCACACGATGGAGCACAGAGAATCAGGGGTCAGTTTGAGGTCGATGGACCCACAAGCGTCTCTTAACGGACAAATTGGAAAGGAAGATTTAACTTTGGGCAAAAGGGAGTGACAACGGTTTATACATTTTATTTTATTTTTTGAAATGGACTGGATACATAGGGCTTCTCGATTATGCAAAAAAAAAAATATATTAATCACAATTATTTAGGTAGTGACGTCACAATTATTCAGCCGCTCATTTATTTTGGGTACAAAAATTTAGAAAATATTTGACTCATCAAATTCTTTGAAACACTACAATTATGTGTGTTCCTTTTGGACCGAATAAAATGTCTAAAATTATTTACTATAAAATTAATGAAAAGAAAAAGGTGCCTTTGTATAAATTCAAAAACTGTTTCGTTGATGACATAAACAGCGCACGTGAGCTGACTTGCTATATGCTGCCATAAATTGCCATAGAACTAGAATTAATAATATTCTAAATTGATTATTATTGTAACAATTTTACATATAAAGTTCGCTCAGTAATACTGTATGCTCGCACCGGCTGGCATTTTTTTTTTTCATTCACTTCAAACACCTTGCCGCCATACAACCGTCTAGCTGCTCGTAAACAAAATTTACCCTCCGTTCTTCTTCATCTCTTATCTAAATCTCTCATCTACTTTCTTTTATTTTCAATTCACTCAAGCGGCAGCGCAACCGAAGCGCGCTCGATCTCAAATTTTGACAATTTCCCGCCTTTGTAGGGAAGTATCAGGAAGGACAAGCGTGACTGACGCGTGAGGTATGACACCGGATGCTCACGTTTCCCACCCTGTTGTCCAAGAGGGCAAATGTCGTATTTTGTTTGTCACGTCAGATGTTGACGGAAGTGCGATCATTGTGCGTTTACGGTTTTGGGATGTTTGCCAAAGCGACATTCTTTGACAACCAGCCAGAAGGTAACATTTGTGATTCGGCATCAAGACACTGGGTACGACTTTTCTGTTAAACTGGCAAAGTCGGTTGAGCTTGCGCCTGCTGACGTACACTTGAATGCGCAAGAGGTGGCCAGTCCGGAAAAACTGACATTCTCTCTGGCTTGCGTTTTCAAAGAGCAGTGTGTCATGGTTTTTTTTTTTTGTTTTGTTTTTTTTCAGGGAGGGGAAAATAAACTGGCTTAATGCTCACCGGTTTATGTAAACTTCACTTCTCCCGTATGAGCCAATAGTAGTTAGTACCACAGCAGTGTGTCTCGCTCCGATCTCCACAAGAGCACCACAGCAAACGGCACCCTGCTGAGGAAGAATTTAAAAAAAAACAAACAAACAAAAAAACGGGATGATTGCGATCAGATATTTCGCCCATAAAAATGTGAAAAAGACTAAACTGCTCATTGGAACCCCGTATGAGCCAATAGTAGTTAGTACCTGTGGTGGAAACATAAATTAGTTTCACAGAGCACACCAAGCGGGGCAGCCTTGATTTCTCCTTCTGTCATGGTCTGCTGTGTATATATATATTTAGTTTGAAGTTTTTAGCCCATTGTTTTCAATCGTAACGCGTAAAAACGTAGAGAATTTTCTGCTGATCGCTCAGCAGACAGCAGTGTGTCTCGCTCCGATCTCCACGAGAGTGCCGCAGCAAACGGCATCCCGCTGAGGAAGAATTAAAAAAAAAAAACGGGATGATTGCGATCAGATATTTCGGCAATAAAAATGTGAAAAAGACTAAACTGCTCATTGGAAAGTTCTCCCTTGTGTGGTACGCGCTGCCTCCTCCTGCATTATGTGAGAGCGAAGCTATCTGGGTTTGGGTTTTGCGGCGGCGGTCTGATTTGTGTCCGTGTGGCTTTACAGATCCTCATTTAACTCAATAGTGCATTTATATTGATAAATATATTTTTTTTTAACAGAAAAAAAATGGAACGATGCAGATCTTTTGACCAGAATCTTATTCCCATAGTGATTAATTTTATCCCCCTGTGGCATTATCAATACCAACCCAGTCAGAGAACCGAGTACTGGAGTAAGAGTTTGTTTCGCAGAACAGCCTGTCACCGATGTCACGCGTCAACGTGCCCGCGGCCGTCCGTGCGCGTCATTTTGGAATCGTCGCCCCGCTGTAACGCTCCGCTTCGATTTTGACAGGCGGGCCCACACCGTCACCGTTCTGTTCATCCTGACGTGCGCGCTGGTGTACGTCACGCTCCTCGAGGAGACGCCGCAAGACACGGCCTTCAATACAAAAAGGTCAGTGGCTGCTTGTTTGTTGACTCCTATTCTCCGATCTGGCTTGTGAGCCAGAAACGAGCGAAAAGTTCACTTCATTTTACTCTCGCGATTAGCGGGGGACTGCTCTTTACAAAGATTTGCTGCGGTCGATGCCGATTGGCTGGCAGATAAAGATGGTCCAGCTTCTTCCTGGAAGTGGACGAACACACACACACACACACACGCGCGCGCGCGCAGCGGCCGACCGTTACTCAGCTTTGAAACGTAATCTTGTTCCCGCTGAAGCCACGCAGCCCGTCGATTCCTATCCCATCACCACGCACTTTAACGAGTGGCTGCTAATCTCATGGACGCCGTCCGGTGTCGTAAGACTCCGCCCGGAAGGTCAAAGCGGTGCCTTTGTTTACTTCGCACACTTAAACGTGACACCTTGTGTCAGAATGGTGTCAACTGACTGCATGCTTTAAGTCACATGATTGAAAAACACCCACCAGGCGGCGTGACTCACACAGGCATTGAAACAGGAGTTCAGAACATTCACTGAAATTCTCATATCCCATTGAAAATGTAATTAAAAAGTCTTCGGTCAATTTATCGTTCATTTGCCTTATAGTTTAAACGTCGTTCTCTCATTGTGGTTTTCTCTAGGGGGATTGTGGCCAGCATCCTGGTTTTCCTTTGTTTTGGGGTCACACAAGCAAAAGATGGACCCTTCACTCGACCGCATCCAGGTAAGACGGAGCACTGCTAGTATGATCCGGACCCTACAAAAATTCTCACCCGACATGGCAAGTGGGAAAGGGGTGCAATGTTTGGGGCTAAACGTTCTAATTTACAGTATGTCCTAATAACTTTGAGTGTCTAGCGGAATCCTCGCATCTCCAAAACTGTCACTTTTTTTTCTTTTGGGGGCGGGGGGGGGCATTTATTCTGAGCTATTAACATTGCATTGTCAAAAAGAGAAAGCCATTTTCATCACTTCAGATTGTCCAGATTGTAACTTGGAAAAAATAACAGACCCACGTGGGGACTGACCGACAGTTAGAGTCTCGATTTGTGAAAAAATATGCCTCTGACCAAATTTGGACATGCGAGATTTCACCCTCACGGGCTGCAAATACAAAACTTACGGTCACGTTTCACATTCAGGACTTGATTTTCCTCGAAGGACGCCAATTGGGCCGCTCAATTTCGCCGACCCGTTTAGCCTGTCATGTTGCTAAGTGCCGGTTCAGCTGGTTAGCTAGCATGTCATCAAACCGGCGGGGCTCGACACACTGCTCTCAAAAAATTCTGTGGTCCTCCAAGGGCCTTAATAAAGCAATTGATTTATCGATTGATTTATATACAGCACTTTGTATGCAGCGATGGTTGTTTTGTTTGCGGCCCGATGCCCACAAAGCTTGTACCTGTACAGTTTCTTTTCCAGACCTCATCAAAGCGGCCCGATGCCCACAAAGCTTGTTTGTACCTGTACAGTTTCTTTTCCAGACCTCATCAAAAGTCACGATCATCGTTCGTTCCTCTTTTTGGTCGAACCCACTGACAGAATTTCTCAATGCGCCTTTCACAACGCGCGTCGGGGTTTTCGACGGGCGTCGGCATGCGCGGGACGCTTGAATGTCGCCAAACGCGTTTCCTTTTCAAGCGCCGGCGTTCTTATCACCGTGGCCTCCTGCGGCTCCAGCGGGAAATGAAGGAAGGAAGATAAGTGGGTGTTGCACACAGCCCGCAAACGTCAGGTTAATCTTCTTGGCTTTCCATTTCCCGCCTGCTTTTTTTTTTTTTTTTTTATGCGGATCAAAAGACGTGCTTCAACGCCGCGAGGCAGTTTTGCAGTTGTTGTTCACCTCATGGCAACCGACTCGAAACTCTTTGGCACGGACAACTAAGGAAAATACCCGGAGGGGTTTTCAAGAGAAGCAAACCTGTATCTCCCGCTGGATCAGTGTGATGAACACATTTGTTTGCATTTGCGGCAACCGATACAATAACTGGGTCAACGGTGAAGAAAATAACAAGAGAGGAAAAGCTTTTTTTTTTTATTGCGTGGTTTTTGTTTGCAGCTCCTTAAACAAGGTCATCAAAATATTTTAGTGACCCCCCCCCACCCCCCCATCCCTGTTGCCAGTACCAACGCTGATTGTTTGGGTGTCTCTCTGCAGCTTATTGGCGCTTCTGGCTCTGTGTGACCGTCGTCTACGAGCTCTTCCTCATTTTCATCCTCTTTCAGGTGAGCATGAAAAATGTTTGAATAGAGCCTGTAATGATTTTAAAAGTTGAATGCACTGGGGAAAAGTTTTTTTTAAAATGCAGCTCATGAAAAATGGCCATAAAAACAAGTCTTGCATTTCTGTTTTTCTTCAGTGCAAGTCGTTTGGACGACGTGTGTCCAAGAATGCACTCTTGTTAATGCTTGCCATTACAAAAAAAAACCCCGAAAACGTTCCCATCATGCGACGTCGCGAGTCTCCACTGGCTCAGTTGGCTCACCGTTCATATCGATGTGTCGCTCTCATTCCAGCTCCAATTCTAAATGTCGTTTCTCTCTAGACGGTGCATGACGGGCGACAGTTCATGAAGTACATCGACCCCAAACTGGGCGTGCCCCTTCCCGAGCGAGACTATGGAGGAAACTGCCTCATCTACGATCCGGGCAACACCACTGACCCTTTGCACAACCTCTGGGTATAACTCTTTTGTCTAATTGTTGTGTAATTTATGGATAATTGCCACAACATCCTCAAACATATACTGTAGATTTATTTATTTACCGTATTTTCCGCAACATAAGGTGCACCTAAAAGCATTCCATTTTCTCAAAAGCCAACGGTGCGCCTCATATATGGATCAATATTCTGATTTCTTGTACGCAGTATTTTTAAATGTTCTATAAAGCGCTTTGTTCCAGCTGCAGCGGGTGTGAAAGCCTGATATAAATAAAGCTGTATTGTATTGTATTCCTTTAGCGTATCTCCATCTAGTGGATGCATAGCGCAACCGCAGCCACTATTGTACCTTCTATTCTATGCGCCTTATAATTCGGTGCGCCTTATGTATGAAAACCATTTTAAAATAGGCCATTCATTGAAGATGCGCTTTATACTCCGAAGCGCCTTATAGTGCGGGAAATACGGTTTCTTCTTCTATTTTCCAATTTCTTTATTTATTTAGCCTGAAAAAAGTAAAACAAACAAAGTTTCACATTAAGCTGTATTTGGACCACTCAGTAGAATGCATTTTTGAAATTGTTTTACGTAATCCCCCCGCCCTTACCTCCCGACAGGACAAGATGGACGGCTTTGTCCCGGCTCACTTCCTGGGGTGGTATATCAAGGTAAGCCTGGCCCGCAACACGCTCAGACTGCACTGTTGCCCTCCCGCGATGTGGCCCATCCCACGGGTGGAATCCTGCTGACGGCTTTTCGCGCTTCCCGCCCTCAGACGCTGATGATTCGGGACTGGTGGATGTGCATGATCATTAGTGTCATGTTTGAGTTCCTGGAGTACAGCCTGGAGCACCAGCTGCCCAACTTTTCTGAATGCTGGTGGGATCACGTACGTGCATTTGTCGTCGTCGTCGTCGGCAGCTTTGACATTCGAATGGTTGACGTTAGAGGATGTGTGATGAATTTGCTGTCCCAGTGGATCATGGATGTGTTGCTGTGCAATGGTCTGGGCATCTACTGTGGCATGAAGACGCTGGCCTGGTTGTCCATGAAGCCGTATCAGTGGCAGGGCCTTTGGAACATTCCCACTTACAAGTAAGATTGCGGTCACGCCGCTGCCTCTTTGCTTTGAGGTGAGACAACTTCGGCAAGGCGTTGTTGTTTCTCAGGGGCAAGATCAAACGAATCGCCTTCCAGTTCACGCCGTACAGCTGGGTGAAATTCGAGTGGAAGCCCGCGTCCAACCTTCGCCGCTGGCTCGCCGTGTTAGGCATCATATTCATGGTAAGAGACGCTCGGGTGAGCCGTTCCCCGTCGGTTTGCGAGCGGCCATTTTGGCTGGACAAGGACAAGTGTTTATTAAAAAAAAAAAAAAAAAAAAGTCATTTATTTCTGAGCAAGCAATTTGAAGGGCTATTCCAGTTTGTGTTGTATCGTGAAACAGCACTCGGGACTTTGTCGCGGGCCACTGTGAAACCATATAAGGAAGTCAAGAATAAGAGTTTATTCAACTACAGTTTAAGTTACTGTGATGGGGGTTTTGGTAACAAGAAAACGTACAATAACTCTCTTATTTATTACATACGAGAATTTGAAATGTTGGTCAATATTTTAGTACGCATCATACATATTTGATTTGCTTTCGCGGGCCGCGTCAAATGATGTGACGGGCCAGATCTGGCCCCCGGGCCTTGAGTTTGACACCTGCGCCTGACATAAATGGTCAGCGTTGACTACTACCACCACGGTACCAGCAAAAGTGCAAAAAAAAAATTGTTTTTCTCAATTGTCTTGTTTCCACTACTGACTGCATGTCAAATTATTTTGTTCAGTCCTTCTCAAGGTCGGATTAAGTGCGCGGTAGGGCTGGCATTGTTTTCAAGATGACATCTGTTTTACTTTTTCCCTTATATGTAAAATGCTATTGTAATGTTGTTGAAGTTCTTGCTGGCCGAGCTGAACACCTTCTACCTGAAGTTTGTGCTGTGGATGCCGCCGGAACATTACCTGGTCCTGCTGCGACTGGTGTTTTTTGTCAACGTGGGGGGCGTGGCCATGAGGGAGATCTACGACTTCATGGACGACCCGTGAGTTGCGGTCGATAATCGGCGCGGGCCACCGCCGCCGTCACCCGCCCTTGTTGAGCGGCTCTCCTTTTTTTTTCGCCGGCAGGAAGTTCCACAAGAAGCTGGGCCAGCAGGCGTGGCTGGTGGCGGCCATCACCGTCACCGAGTTCCTGATCGTGCTCAAGTACGACCCCAACACCATCATGCTGCCCATTCCCTTCTTCATCACGCAGTGCTGGATCCTGGGCCTCCTCGTCATCCTCGTCTGGACGCTGTGGCGCTTCTTCATCCGGTAACGAGTCGGCGCGGTGTGTCGAACGTGGGGGAGGGGGGCTGAGGAATGAGGTCAACATTGCGCTGAAAAACAGTTGGCCTTGGAAACACGTCGGGTGAAGAATTGATAAGAGGGAAGTGGATGGCTGGGCGAATATTTCCTTAAATTGTTGAGAATAACTACATAACTTGGATAAATAATGTCAATGAGATAAATGCATAATGTTTAGGAAAACATTTAAGGAAAAATGGCGAAAACGGTGCCCTGATTAAAGCCTCATTTAATTTAAGAATTCATGCTTGTCAGTTATTTCATAAAACTCGAAACTGAAAATGTTTAAATTCTTCAAAAACAGGTCACAAATAAATATATATTAGTATTAGCAGTATTAGTAACCAGTTATATAATCAAATTGTTCAAAATCAATTGACTAACTGCATTTTTAAAAATGAGCCCATTTATTTTAGTTTTAAGAAAAAAGGCTAAAATAATCACAACAAATAATTTCCATGAAATAATTGCATCTTTAATTATATTTGTTATTAATTTTTTTCATGGAAATTATTTTAAAATGCATCCAGTGGTGTCTTGACTTTACTGAAATACTTGTACGAGATCATCTTTCCCCACGGAAATGAATAGAAATGATCCCTTCCACCTCCACAAAAACTTTTTTTGAACAATTTTAATAAGAAAAACAACATTGCGTTTGCAAAAAAATTACAGTGCCAAAGAAAATGACATAAATGAAAATAAACGTAAAGAATGAAAGTCGACGATTTCCTGACTGCCCGTTGACGGGTTGTCCTTTCTGCCGTGCAGTGACATCACCCTCCGCTACAAGGAGACGCGGCGGCGCAAGCAGGAGGACTCCGGCGACCGCGAGCGCCCCCTCGGCAACGGCGCCCCATCGGGCCGCAGCAAACTTAACGGCGGCTCCGACGCCCTCCGCCACAGGAAGTCCTGAGTGAACGAGAGAGCGTGGAAACAAGCGCGACGCAAAGACAGACGCCGCTTCCGCGGAGGAGAAGCACAGTGTCCGTTTTGATTGTTGTTGTTTATTTTTTTATGCCTATTCAGGTGTCATACGTGGAACATTTTGTTATTTATACGCCACATTTTGGAATGTTGACAAAGACGACGGAGGAGGAAGGAGACCAAATAGTAGAGAGTCGGCAGTTCCTACAAATGCATCACTCTGAACCGCAGTGCGACAAACGGCGCCGACTTCACAGTTGGGAACGGTCGCGTATCCGGCGCTGCATTTTTTTTTTTTTTTTTGTCGGCGTCCGTAAGTAAAACAGTGTTTCCCAACATTTGTTGAGTCAAGGCACATATTGTGTTGTCGGACCTGTTGTGACTTTGGCCGTTCGGTCCCTCGTTGGGAATGCGGCAAGTTGTGCAAAGAGTAGTCAACCACTGAACAGTTTCAAAAGGTCAAATTTGGTTCATCTTGCAAAGGTTTGTTGGTTTTATGTTTTTTTTGGTTCAGCGTAAGATTTCCCCTGAAATCCAAATATATTTGTGAGTAGTGTATTTGAAAGTACAGCTGGCTCATTTCTCGAATGTTTTTCCCAATGTAAAATCGAGCCGCTGAGAGCTAGAGTGGGCTAATTATGCCCTTTTGAAAGACAAGTGCAGAAATCAATTGTTGATTTTTTTTTTTTATTGCCCTTGTGCATCTGCATGTTCATAATAAGTTTTATGTCTCATCTTTCATTGAATATTCATAAATTTGACCGGTATTTGGTGTTTGGACTGAAACCATTGGTCCACCATCACCGTCCCAGCAAAAGGACCAAAATGAAGGCAGCCCACTCTGCTTCTTAGTTCTTCATTTTACACTGGGGGAGGGGGGAGAGGGGCATGTTTCAGCCCACCGTCGTTCTTCTCAGTGGCTCATTTTACATTTGGAGAATCTCATGCCACACCACCAAAGAAAAAAAGTCCCAAGGATAGGTGAACAAAAGATTCACAACTGATGCTCGCTGGTGGTACTTTCTTGTCTGACGTGATCACTCCAGCTGAGCTTACACTCAAAAGTCCTTCAATCACATTTCAGAGTCGTGATTCAAAACTCTTGCCAGGCTGAACTCCAAAAATAAAAAGCTAGTGGAGGAGGGGGAGGAGAAAAAAGTAACTGCTGAAACATGTAAGGCTAGTTTGCATTGTATCTTTTAGGGTCAAATATAGATGTCGAATATTAGATTGTACAGTGTTAGGTATAAAGACACCACCGGGACAATCGCGCTCTGCTCAGCAGTTGTGGAAGCTTGCTTTAAACATAAAACCACAACAGGAAAAAAAAAAAACAATTTTGGGATTGGAAAATGGCGGGGTTTGTTGAACTTTTTTCCGGTTCTGGCTTGTTTCTGTTTTGGAAAGTCCATACGAAGCTAATGAAGAAGGGGAAATGCTCATGATTATGTTTGGTGGGGGGGTTCTAACCTTTGTGCTGAGGTGTTCTTGGTTGTTGGGTTAGCAAGCATATTGGGCGGTGATGTGGTCAGGCTTCACAAGTGCTCAACTTGATCTCAAAGGTGTCCTGTTACTTGAATCAACTATTCATGTCTGCTCAGTTCAAAGACCAAAAAAAGCTTGGAGAGCTTTCATTGCTTAAGCCATAAAACACATTTGGACTTTTTCAAGTACCAACTATTTGCACCTTATTTAACTCCAGTTTTTTAAATTTTGTGTTTACATTCCATATCAATGAGTCTTAAGTCTGGTTTTTTTTTCCAGTCATGATAGAATTTGCAATAAATACCCTCTTTGCTATTAAAAAAAAAAAACATCTAAATGCTTTCTGTAAGGTTGTCATTTTGGATTTAAGTTTAGATACCAAAGTGTGAAAAACGAAAAGAATCCGAGCTTGACATATCAGAAGCCATTTTCTGTTTTGCTCTGTTTCCATTTGTACCCTGGTCTGAGAACGCAACTTAACCTGGGACGTGCTGCTGTTATGTTGTCAATAAAAATACACAGAACGCCTCGTAGCTGGACTGTTCTTGATGGAATGTGTGTCAGTGAAAACCATCGCCTCATTGGTAGAGTATGTGCGCCATCTTATGGATGGATAGTAAAATATTCAACATTTTTTTACTGGAATTTTAATAAATTGTCGATTACAGTCACTGAAAAATACAAATTAATGCATTTAAGTTGAACAATTTTCGGGTGAAATGTCAAATTAATGCCACAGGTAGAACAGTTGCAGTTGCATGTAGAGTAAGGCGTTTTTAGCGGAAAAAAACGACCATGTATAGTAAGGCGTTTTTCGACGAAAAAAACGACCATTATAGTAAGGCGTTTTAACCAGAAAAAAAACGACCATGTATAGTAAAGCGTTTTTATCGGAAAAAAAACAACCATGTATAGTAAGGCATTTTTAGCGGAAAAAAACGACCATGTATAGTAAGGCGTTTTTCGACTAAAAAAACGATCATGTATAGTAAGGCGTTTTT